AAACAGTGGCAAGTCCCTCAGCCCCCTGGAGAGAAATAGCCATGGATTTTATAGTGGAATTGCCAGAAAGCAATGGGAATCCTGTGGTCTGGACGGTCACGGACTTGTTTTCCAAACAGGTGCACTTTATCCCTTGCCAAAAGATTCCCACTGCAAAAGCCTTAGCAAAACTTTTCATCAAACACATTTACAGATTGCATGGGGCACCCCAACGCATCATCTCTGACAGGGGGGTGCAATTTACGTCTGCATTTTGGAAGGAATTTTTATCCCTCTTAGGAACCACTCAGGGACTGACATCTAGCCACCACCCTCAAGGAAATGGGGGGGCTGAAAAAATGAACTAAGTACTTAAGCAATATTTAAGATGTTTTCTTAGTTTCCAGCAGACCGAGTGGGCGGACTTACTCCCCTTTGCAGAAGTTGACTACAATAATGCAGTCCACTCCAGCACAGGTTACACTCCTTTTCAAATAGCCACCGGTCAAAGTTTCAACCCCATGCCAGAATTAACCCCAAACGAACCAACGATTCCCTCGCTGAAAGAATGGATGGAAAAATTACAAAACACCTGGCCAATAGTCAGAAAAGCACTAGATGAAGCTAGGCAGGCTTACAAAACACAAGCCGATAAAAAAAAGGGTTGAGCCTACACCATTCATTATAGGAGAAATGGTGTACTTATCTACAAAATACCTAAAGTCCCTACAGCCCTGTAAAAAACTTGGACCAAAATATATAGGACCTTTTCCAATTAAAAGAATCATAAATCCAGTAACAGTAGAATTAGAATTACCCAAAAATCTCAGGCAAATACACCCAATTTTTCATTGCAGCTTGCTGAAAAGAGAGCATCAGTCACCTCTACGGCCAAAAATCCCCCCCCCCACCACCTCCAATCATGGTGGAGGGTGAACAACACTTCGAAATAAAGGAAGTCCTTGACTCTAGGAGATATCATGGAGCACCTCAGTACCTAGTTGCCTGGAAACACCTCCCTCCCTCACAAAATGAGTGGGTCCATAAACGTCATGTCAGAGCCCCGAAGCTATTGAAGAAGTTTCACACAGAGTATACTAACAAGCCTAACTAAAATTTTTACTTGCGTTTTCTTTCAGGTGGATCTCTCTTATTGTTAAGAGGGGCCGGATGTCAGAATCCAATTATATTTCATCTTTAAATTATCAAATATAGAAACTCCCAAATCTGCCTTCTCTGGATTCTGCCATAAGAGGGAGAGAAGGGGGAGAGCAAAGGGGCTTTATGGCCCTCACTTCCTTCTTTACACTTCAAAGAGCTGAATGTGTGTTTATTGTAACCTCTAAGCGTTAACATATCAAAGAAGGGTAATTGCCTTTCATGTAGTATCTGAAGTCTCCATCCAGACGGAAGAAAGAAGAAAGGAGGTGGAATTGTGATACTTGAAACTATCACTGGAAGGGGGGTTGATTGGGTGGGACTACTGGGGAACCCCTTAAAACCTTGAATGGGAGAGCTTGGACCCCAAGTCCTGTCTAGCATGCCTGCAACCATTTTCTCTTAATAAAGGATTCCTGTTGGAAGAACTATTCCAAGAGTTCTGTCTTCTTAAGATGCAAAGTGGGGTGGGTCCTTACAGCTTGGGAATTACTGCCAGACAATATATCCAGGGATATGTTTTATTTTGATAACCAGCTGTCCTTTTTATTCTAAAGAGCACACCTCATCTCTGCATGATACAGTGTCTTATTTCACTTTTGCCTTTGGCTAGCTAAATATTTTCTGATCATGTACCAGTTAGACTGTTGCTCTTCAGAGCTCTTTATAATTAGAAAATAACCTAGATAGTTTGCTGGACATCCAGCAAAGCTAATACAGGCGTGCAATCCAACAAAGCATCCCTTAAACAACTGATGGTTTAATGACCCTAAACACATAATTTTAAGGAGAGCTGTCAATGGATACAGCCAAGGCAATTTTGATTGCTGCTCAATATTTATAAGACAGTTAGATAAAAGGTAGCTTTAATCACAGTGAGTTCAGTTGAAACTAGATCACAAATTGTGATTGACCAGCCTTATAAGTAGTAGAAATTAAGATTGTTATTATTTTAATATGTTTAAACATTAAAAAGAACAAGACTCCCTGCATTTTTTTTATAAATTGGCAGATTACAGAACAATTTTGGCAGGGTAATATAAAAGTACCAAATAATGTTGAACATAACAGTATCAAACATGGTATTAGGATGATATTTGAAATATCATAGCAAAAGTGACTCGTGTCAAATTGAATTTATAAAAACAATGAAATTAAAAAATAGGAACACCAAAGGTATATTGTAGAAAATCAATGCAACCATTCTTTTTAAACCCTATTTACTTATATGACAAAGCAACTTAACATAAAATAAATTTCCCAGTTACTATACAAAACTGATAAGTTATCCAATCTGGATGTTACTGCATATTCAGAAAATGGAACATCTACGTATATTGTCCCATATGTATTTGCTAAAAAAAAAAAAAACATAAAACTGTTTCTACGTCCTCTAGCTCTAGATATCTAGACTTTAGCCCTCATAACCCCTACGTAGCATAAACAATGACTTGCAAGGGATTTTGGGAATTAAAGTCCAATACATCTGGAGAAAGCCAGGTTACAGAAGACAGTTCTGCATAAGGATCACATTACTTCAACAGATGGCTTGTAAAGCCATACTGAGAATGTGTTTTCTCACATAACGGGTATGGTCTCTTCTTTATCAGGCATAACATGAAGAACCTCGTTTGAAGCCCTCCATGGGCAAAAAGAGATGAAATGTAAATCTGTAACATGGACTGTTTCTATTTCAGTAGAGTAGTTTAAGTTTCCAGTCGGCATCCTTTTGTTTTGCAATTCTTTCTTTACATTCCTAATAGATTCGGAGGGGGAAGATATGTGTACACAAGCACCCTTGTATGTCTGCAAATACACATACATTTCTGTATGTATAGAATCAAACAAACCATTTGATCTGTAAAGCATAACACCACCGCATAACATCTGTGGCTGGTCTGCGCAGAGCCCTTGGTGGTCTCTGCACGAATGCCAAGTTCTGCCCTAGAAGGAGTTCAGCAGCAGCTGAGGAGAGAAAACTTCTAGCCCAGATCAACATTCCAGAGATTAGATTAAAGCTGAACATTGATCTGTAAAGCTTGGCTGGCTCTAGGGAAAGTTAAAGCAGCAAGAATGATGGGACCCTGATTAATCCAGCAGTCAAGAGTTTCCAAAAATAAAATGGGCCAGAGGGACACAAGAAGAGGAGGGGAAGAGTATCACTCATCAACTCAGGATTCCCATTTCTATAATTCCTCTGTAAAATGTCAGATGTGACAGTCATAGGTTTGAGATGCTGGAATTTGAACATAGTTAACACTAGGGGAAAAACAATAAAACTTTGTGTCAAAAATATTTCACTGTTTCCCTTTTCTCTAACACAGCCATTTATGCAATATTCCAAACCATTATGAATACTGTTTTCAAACATTCAGTTCTGAAAAAGCTGCAGAAGGTAAATGAATCTGCAAAAAAAGTGCCTCATCTTTCATAAGCCAAAGGACTTTCCACAAGTGCAAAAAAATGCCACTATTTTAAAATTCACACTACATATATTTGTAAATTACACAAAGATACTAACTGTAAATATGGCTAATATATATTTGCAAATGTACTATATATTTTACAAATATGCTTTTTGAGTGCTTTGTTGTGTGCTTATTTTTTCAAATTACCTTTCTATAGAACAAGTATTTATCAGAAAGAATTGAGAATCATGGGATGTATCAATGTATAACAATATGCCAACCATCTAATTCTAAGCAGTTTTGATAATGCATTTTTTTTAAAAAAAGGTTGTAAAAGTGAGTACAAAGTACAAGATTATCTGTCATATCACATCCATGTGTAAGCATTTTAGCTTCTACCTTGTATGTCTCAGTAATATAATTTTCTGCAAAATAATATGGTTGAATTAATATGAATATGAATAATGAATGAGTATATTTTTTAGATGCCCTAACAAGCAAAATCAGTGCACTTCCATTTTCTTGCACCAGCACCAATTGCAGTTCAGAGGAGGCATCTAGTTTTTACTTCTTACAAACCAGCTGCAGAATCCATCTACCATCCCGTATCTCAACCAAAATCAATTTCATACCTCATCTGGTTAGATTTTACACATTTCCACATTCATCTGTGCATTCTTTTTCTTATTTTAATCTCTTGCCTCAAGATAATAGCAGTTGGTACTAGTCCCTAACTTGGAATTCCAGCTGAGTACAATATTCACTACCAAGGTTGACTGTAAGACACAAGAGAAAAAATCAGCTGAGCATTAGAAGGCTTTTATAATAGCATTCTTAAATCTTCAATGAAAGTCAAACTGTATCCAACAGGTTTTCTGTGAGCTGCCTAAGGAGGTGAGGAAAACTGAAATCAATTAGGTTCAGATAATAATGCAGTACTTTCACCTGAAATATTTTCAATACATTTGCCTTGGAAGTAAGGCATTTTAGAGCTGTCACTTTCACATCAGGAACAAAATTCAGGTTTGAGCAACAAAAAAAAAAAATCCCAACCCTCTGACAACATTTTATTTCAGCTCCACCTAATAATATATGGAACTTTTTTTTTTTTTTTTTTTTAGCAAAGCTACTTGCCTCTTTTTGGCACCTCTGGAAGTGGTCCCTCAGGGGCAGGAAGAAGGCATTTTGGTAAGTCCAAGAGCCTAGGAGAGTGGCCAGCTTTCCTGCACCGTGTCTGATTTCTCTGTGGATAAATAGATTACATTTGCATCCCTCCATTACCTAATCCACCCACGCTCCACTCATCACTTCATATTTAAAATAAAAAAGGAGCAAAAGAATGTCTCAGGCCAGAGTTAAAAGTGAAGGAGGTGATATCTGAGAGTGCTGGGGGGGGGGGGTCATCCTAGCCTATTCCCATCTCTGCTACTGTTCCCATTCCATATATAGCTCCTGAGAACTGCCAGACAACTCTCTGTCTCCCTCCCTGCTCCATTTCTGCTTCTGAAGCCTGTGCCCAGTTTTTGGCCATCGCTGTGGTCTTTGGGTACCCGCTAGAGTACAACAGGATGGCCGAGAAGCAGGAACAACCTCCAGAGGCCCAGAATGGTGAAAAAGCTGAAACGGCTGAAAATGCAGAGGAATCTGCAGAGGCAGAAAAGCCAAAGGAACTGGAGGAATTGCCACCCTTTGAAATTGTCACAGGGTAAGAGCCCTACTTCATTGCCAAGTTGACAGGAGCAACTCCTTCCTTAGGAATCTGTGTAAGCTAACCAGGATCATGTCTGCAGATTTCTTTAAAAAGAAATGCCAGTCTCCACATGTGAGGATTTTGCTGTTAATAATGAAAGGAGATTGTATCTTGAGACCTGCAATAAAATGGGGAGAGACTTAAATTATATCCAGCCAGGCTGAGCTGAGATATATCTGGAGCAAAGCCACTTATTTTAGCATGATCATGTGTGGCACTGAAATGATTATTCTCCCTTTGCAAATGAAAAAAAGAAAATAAATCTTATCTATGACTTGGCTGTACAATATTGCTTTGCAAAGCTCATAAGACTGCTTAAAAGCATGCATTTTTTCCACATCAAAAATTCTGTTAAAAAGCAATGATAGGTAAAGGGAAAGGTTAGAACTGGAGAAACTTAAGGCTAAATTCATATCCTGGAAAAAATAAGAACTGCTAGTTTATTTGGAGGTATTTAAAATCAGATAATCAGAAAAACCTAATTGCAGCAGTGAGTGGTAAATTCATTAGATAACTCTGAAAGGATTAAGATAAGAGAACTACTTTTAAAACAAACAAACCTAGCCTGATCATTCTGTATCAGGAATTATTTATTGTAATCACTTATAGAGGGAAAAAATGAGAAAATAAAATTTGCTAAGCATTTGTAATATTTAAATATAATTATATTTAATCATTAAATATAATTGAATTAAAATTATAATTGAATTAAATATTGTTATGATCTCAGAATCAAACATGTAGCATTATCTTCATGGTTTTTACAACTCACTACTGTAACTATATTTCCTGGAGAAACTCAATCTGTGTAGTTGCTAAGACTCAAAACTGACTTGATGGCACACATTTAATCAAAAATCAACTAACTGGTTTATCAGACCTTTTATCAACTAAGTACCACTCATATTTGTTGGATTTCAAATCCTATAATCTTCTAAATGGCACCTTGGAACCTCAGCTGGGGCAGTTTAGCTTTCATTTTGTACATTAAAAAAAACAGAATTACCATAAACATCAGTGAAGGATCTAGCTATAGTAGTATATTTTCAAGTCATTGTCAGTTGGAACTATTGTCTTTATTTGCCATTTGTTTTTTAGTAATACGTGACCTATGAAAAATAAGTGTTAATAAGTGAAGCTTGCAGTGAAATCCTGAAACTACAGTATAATTTGCTATTATCCAAATCTATAGACAAATCTCTAGATAAAAGCTCTCTAAGGTTCAGTTCTTATGATAGACATTATTTTTTCTAGCCTAACCCATTAAGCCATGCCAGGGTGGAGCAATGGCTAAATTTTATTCATTCCTTTGTCTAGTGGCAAAAATAGTAACAAGGCAATTTGGGTCAATTTGTAAATGTCAGTGTTGCTGCAAAGAGTATTGTATTATTTGAAACTACTGTAAGAATGTAAGCAAGTGCACCATCTTTTAGGCAATAAATCCCATTGAACTCCCTAGTAAGATTATGAACTAGAGCAGGAGTGTCCAATCTTGGCAACTTTAAGATTTATGCATTTCATCTCCCAGAAGTCCCCAGCCAGCCATAGTTGAAGTTCACAAGTCTCAAAGTTACCAATGTTGGACACCCTTGCACTAGAGTCCTCATAAAATAATCCCAGTTCATGAGTCATAATGAACTTGCTCATTATGAGGTAATGGTGTTTTGGCAGCATACAAGATCAACAAGACTACGACTGCTATACAATCCTCACAGCTCCCTCTTCTAACACTTTGGAGGTATTTTGTCCTACAGGAACTGCTGCCTAAGTAATAGTTTCCAATGCAAAGAAATTGTATTGAAAGACCAAGGCTATGTGTGTCCTCCCCCCTCAGTAGGCAATGGCACCCAGGGACTGTCAAAAGTTGTTAAACTGTAATTTTAATCATAACAAAAGTTATCAAATTTGTGACTGGAGGATACTCATATTAATATTTATTAAAAGATATAGTATTACTTAAATATGTAATTTTAAGCTTACCTATGAGTGGAATAAATCATATTTAATCTTTGGTTTAACCTCAATAAGTCTGTTTGGTGTGTTATTCCCCAGCATGTCATTCAAGTCCAAGTGCGCTCCTTCACCTGAAAGCAGATGTGACTTAAATTTAAGGGTACCCTATGAAGGATCATTTATTTATTTACTCCTTTCTCCTCCTATTTTCCTCACAATAACAAGCCTGCGAGGTGAATTGGACTGAGAGAGAGTGACAGGCCCAAAATTAAATAGGATCATGGAAGGCAAAGTCTTTAATTCTATTTATACTGCTAGAAAAGCAAATTAGAAAATATGTATCCTGGGGAACTAGGAAAGTGTAATGTTTTAATGTGTTGATATTTATATTTCATGTTATCTCCCAGGAGCCAAAGGTCATACACATGGTGTGGTCTCACCATCAGCCTCATGTCATTGAAACAATGTCATCATGGATTAGATTAAAATGATTATGTATTGGAATTTTAGCCTTGACCTAAAATTTTCAGTTAAGGACTCTGTATCAAATTACTTAAAATTAATAGATTGAGTCTTATTTAAAATAAAAGGAACATTAGTTGCCTACTGTTGTGATGTTGATAAATTTCTTTTCATCTGCAATAAGATGCCAGTTTTCTTCATCAGGTTTAATTTAAATATGTTTTATTCATAAAACAGTATTATTCTAAGATTTATATCACCCCCTGTGGCCACAAAATTAAGTTATGGTTTCAATTATTTACATATTAGTCTGATGAAAAAAGACATTTAGCTAATGAGGAATTAAAAACCTTAAGAATAACAACAGTTCTGCCTAAATATCCCTGGCAGTTGAAACATTTCAGCTACAATCACTAGATTACAAGTTTGCTTTTTTGCCAAAGTATCTTTGAGCCCCACCCCAAATGGATGTAACTGTGGAACTGTCCTATGGCCTGACCAGTTTTTAGAATTAAGATTATTCCTTGCCCCATTTTTCAGTGTGATAATTATTTTATAGATAGCCATGTAAATTTCTTGAGATATATGGAGCATTCATTTACACTACGTTGTTCTGCAGCCAAAATTAAGCAGTTAGAACCAATTCATGAAAATGTTATCTCCCTGTCAGGTAAATATGATGTTACCCTCAACCTGTCCCCATCGCATCACCAATGCAAGCAAGCACCTGCTATCTATTCTTACACTACATCAAAAAATAGTGTTTCCTATCTTCTGGTGCATAAATAGTGTATTGTCTACCTGGTACACTTTGGCAATTCGTAGGAAAATGCTTTTAGTCAGTTATTGTATTGTATTGTAGGGAAACACTCCCTTTCTTCTCGTCACTGTCCTCCACAACCTTTTCATCCTGAGCTGCTGTTCCAATGAAAAGCTGTGTTGTCGTTACAGATAATCCTCAACTTATGAACATTCATTTAATAACTGTTCAAAGTTATGACAGAGCTGAAAAAAGTCACTTACAACTGGTCCTCATACCTATGACTGTCACATGATCAAAATTTAAGTATTTGGCAACTGGCATGTATTTACGATGGTTGCAGTGTCCCAGGGTCATGTGATCGCCATTTACAACTTTCCCAGGAGTCGTCTACAATGGGAAAAGCAGGATTCATTTATCAACTGCAGCAAAAACGTTCATAAAATTGGATGCAAGTCACTTAACTATATTACTTAGCAACAGATGTTCCAGGACTAATGTTGCTCGTAAGTTGAGAATTATCTCTATTGTGATTATTTTAAGAAGTTCATTGATGGAATGGTAAAAGGGTGAATTTTTATTCATTTATTTTTAACCAGGTGAAGCTAACAAGCGTTCTAGCAGTTTGCCCTTCTAGCCCAAATGATATGCGTTTTGGTTTCTTTACCAGTCCACAATAGTTCCAAAGATTTAAACTAAAAAGAAAGTAATTGGTACTTGATTTCCAGCATGAATGGGAGGGGTAAAGAAGCAGGGAAATCCACCAATTAGGGATGATGGAAATTGCTACCCAGACATAATTCTGGTCAGCATAGTTGCCAAAACCTGAAATCCATAATGCTTTTTAAAGCCAGCTTTCTTTACAACCAGTTTTAAGATATAAGCAACTTAGCAGAAATACCATTCTATCACTGGTCTCAGGGTAGAGGGCTGTCCTCAGGCAGAAGAATATTAAAAATATAACTTTTCATAAAAGAACTAATCTACAATTAAGAGGTTCAAAATTCTTTAATACAGATTAATACAGGCCAATCCATTCACTAGTACAAAAATGCTAATATCACACCTAATAACTCCCTTGTGCACAGCCACCATCACTTTTTGGGCTTCTATATTTTATTTTAATGTGGAAATGAAATTAACATTGTATTGTAGTTCAGAAAATCTTGTGAGATAATCTTTTTTTTAATCTTAAAGATATCACAAGATTTTCTGTTTGGTCTGTCAGTAATAGAGTAACATTTTTTTAAAAAAATTTTAATTAGCCAAACACAAAATCTATCTTTTATTTTTTTTAAAAAAAAAAATCAGATTTATAGAGTGGAAGACTCAATTATTTGCAGGACACACCCTTCATATAATCATATTGAAATGATTGAAAACATTCCTCTAATAATATATGGATATACAGGTAGTTCTTGACTTATGACCACAATTGAGCCCAAAATTTCTGTTACTGAGATATTTGTTAAGTGAATTTTGCCCAATTTTATGATCTTTCTTGCCACAGTTGTTAACTGAATTACCACAGTTAATTTAGTAACACAGTTGTTAAGTGAATCTGACTTCCCCATTGACTTTGTCAGAAAGTCACAAAAAGTGACATGATTCCTGTACAATGCAACAGTCATAAATGTGAGTCATTTCGCAAGCATCTGGATTTTGATCACATGACCAATGGGATGCTGCAACAGTCATAAGTGTGAAAAAGGGTCACAAATTATTTTTTTCAGTGCTGTTGTAACTTTGAACGATCACTAAATGAACTTTTGTAAATTGAGGACTATCTGTAATTCCTAGGGTCAACAAAAAAAATGAAAAAACTACTTCAGTACTCATCAATAATGAGCATTCTGCCAAAAAATGGGTAGTATAACAGTTTGGTAGTTGGAGCTGAGAGGGAAAACAATAACAGGCATAAACAATTTTTCAAAACAAAGAGCTTAAGGCTTTCTAACTTTAACTTTTTAACAGCATATATAAACTGTACACTAGTATTATACAGAAAGAAGAGTCTAATTTAAAATCTGTGTATCTCATACTTCGCAGCAGTATAGATCAATTGTCTAACAAATCAGGATAATTGAAGAGGTGCTGACAGCTGAATTTCCTGGCAATTATCATTATAAGGGACACATGAATGCATCCAAAGTCTGTGAATACATACGTTATGAAGATTGTTTTGCTTTCTTTAATTGGACTAGACTAGAGTAGAAGGGAAGGGGGCAAGGGAGATTCTCTGCAATGAAAAGGCAAAAAAAAAAAAAAAACCTTATCCATTGCTATTGCTTCAGACCTGCAGAAAAAGACTTGTAAATGTTTTGGAGGTACAATCATATTGTTTCTATCTATACCAGGGGTGTCACACTCACAACGTCATGTGACGTGTCGTGATATATTACAACTTTTTTTGCCATTGCCGTCAATGGGGTAGGCGCGATTTTGCTATGATACATCCGGCCCGCGGGCCGGCAGTTTGATACCCCTGATCTATACCATCATCTTACATTGCAACATCTAGGCTACTTAGTATTGTTAACGTTATTGCTGGGGTCACTGGGAGAAAAAACAGAACAGGAAAATTAAGCGTTTTTCCTTTCCTATTAATTTACCATTGAAAATATTCTGTAATATTCTCACACATCCATATCTCACTGAACACGCACTTGGGAATCTTTAAAACAGACATGTCAAACACAAAGCCCGGGGGGCGGATGCGGCCCAAGAAGTGGTTTCATGTGGCTCGCAAAGCCATCCTGAAAAACAGTAAGGGAATGGCCCCCGCTGCCTCGGCCCTGGCCCAGGCTGGCCGGGAGCCAATGTACAATTTTGTGGTGACCATCTATGCTGAAACGCATTCAGTCTTAGCTCCACATGGCCATCTGGAAACAACGAGGAACCAGCCCCTGCCGCGTCGCCCCCGCCCCCTGGGTGCATACTGGGGAGGTGACACCTCCCCAGCTGCGTTTCTTGCCTGTTCTTCTCCTCCCTCATCTCAAATATTTTTCCACCACTCTGTACTTAAGAAGGAAGGAAAGAAGGAGAGGGAGGGTCTGAGGGAAGTCCTACCTTAGTCCTGCCCTGCTGCCCTTTCACCATCCCCTTGCCCCCTCATCCTGGCCTATCCTGGGGGTCTCCCATCCTATTGCTAAGGAAGCTTTGGATACAAAGCCGGGTCTCCTCCCATGGAGAGGGAATGGGCCTCTTTCTGACTTTGCCCTTGTACCCATCATGAGCAACCTGGCTAAGGAGAGCAAACACAGCAGCAGCAGCCTTGAGGAGGAGGTAATTGCAGCTGGGCGCCCCCTTGGGGAAGTGGGGCTGGGCTTGGTGCTGTGAGTGCTCGAGGGCCAGGCTGGGCATTTGACCTCTGCTGCCCAGGGCTCCGGGCAGCCCACACCACCGAGCCCCCCCGCATGGCCTGAGAGGAACAGTGAGGCTCCTCCAGTGGACCATGCCTTGGTACTTGCTCTGGTCCCACCCCCTTCTGCCAGAGACCCTCAGATCTGTCCCACTCCTGCCCAGGCCACCACAGGCACCTTTGACGCGGCTGATGTAGACCTGGCCATGCCCACCCAGTAGGCCATGCCCACCCAGTAGGCTGCACCCACCCTGGCCACACCCATCCGGTTCCCTGAGGGCAACCATAATGCTGATGCGTCCCTCAGTGAAATTGAATTTGACACCCCTGCTTTAAAAGAACAATAAAGAAAGGAAGACATTAGATGATTTAAATTTATTTTCCACAAGGTTTCTGGTGTACAAGTTATTTAAAGTACAAAAGAAAAATACTAAATGTTTTTAAAGGTTTATTTTCAAGGACTCAAGAATTATTTCACTCATTTTCAGTAAAATAAAAACTATTTGTGCTTTATTGATTTTATTTTTTTATATTAAATAATATTGATTGTGTAATGTATATGAGGTAAAACTAATGTATTCTGAGGGCAAAACTGATAGAAAAGAAAATGTTGGTAACGCAGTTACAAATGGCTTTAGATAACAAAAATATAGAATAATTATATACTTCTCTAATAGACTGCATCACCACTAGAAAATAAGAAAATGAAAATATAAATTGTGCTTTTAATTGGATATTTCTCCAATAGATTACAAAAGCAGTATATAGCACACAGCCTACCCCTTGCACAACTTTCCAGTTTAAATCCCAATAAATTAAACTACTGAATTGAAATTCTGTAATGTTTATCCAGGTGAGAAATGTTGCCTATTACATTTAGACAGCATGGAAAAAATTGCTCTGAAAACAATAACAAAAAGCTGGTGATAATTGTAATATTGTGTGATTCATCTCTGTTTACTTTTTCCCAATTCAAAGCAAACTCCTAGCAATTCCTGTTCCATACCTCCTTATTGATGAGGTTGCTTCTGCATAAACTGTTAAGTAGGAAATAGCTATTGTGAGGTTGCTTACCTCTAGTATACTTTGGGGAACAATAGAGTTGTCATAAAATTATCTTAACGAAATCAAAACCATACAGGTGGTTACATTATAAACTCTGTATGCACACTGATACTTTCACTCTTCTCTCCAGAGAACGGCTTCCAGCCTGCTTTTTCAATTTCCAGTTCAAGAATGTCGAATACAGTTCAGGAAGAAACAAGACCTTCTTGTGCTACATCATAGAGATTCAGGGCAAGGAGTCCAAAATCGTACGGGGCTACCTGGAAGATGAACATGCAGCAGCCCATGCAGAAGACGCCTTCTTCAACACTATCTTGCCCAAGTGTGAGTCTGGCTTGCGCTACAATGTCACCTGGTACGCCAGTTGTAGCCCCTGTGTAGGATGTGCTGATCGGATAACTAAAGCACTTCAGAAGAACAAGAATCTACATCTCTCCATTTTAGTAGGTCGTCTATTCATGTGGGAGGAACCTGACATACAAGCTGCCTTGAAGAAAATGAAAACAGCTGGTTGTAAATTGAGGATCATGAAACCTCAAGATTTTGAGTATGTCTGGCAAAACTTTGTAGAGCAGGAGGAAGAAGAAGCAAAGGCATTCACACCCTGGGAAGACATTCAAGAGAACTTCCAATTTTATGAAGAAAAGCTTGCTGAACTTTTGCACTGAGGTTAGTGTTAAATGTGATTTTGAAATCTCCCTGTTTAGGATAGTTTTTCAGACCATCATAAGAAACAAAGTTTATTTTGGTTTTTAATGTGACAACTTTGGCCAGATTAGAACACACATCTCTGCATTTCAGAAGCTGAAAAGGCACAAAAGTAAAGAAGAAATTGACAGCAATTTCCACAGTTGCTTTCAGCTCCTACAGTATTCCTTCTGACAGGATTATGCACAAAAATTCCATAGCTCAAATTAGCCTCTAGGTTAGAATTCTAATCTGCATACTGTATGTTTCACTAATCTCTAGCTATGTATTATAATTCCCCAATCTTTAACTCAGATTTCTACACAACTGCAATTTTTCTTTCCTGGCTTTCAGTCAACCATGGAAGAGAGGTGATCCTACTTCTCTGATGAAAGACAGGCAAAATCGAGTTATCCCTTTTTTAAAAGAAAACCCCATCTCTTTATTGCCTTTTTACGAGACTATTTCTGCTCCAACCTGGACTCACAGATCAGCTTGTTTTTCCATAGTGCTTTCAGAGTCTGGATCCCATGGAATCCATTCCTTCTTCACTCACACTTCCATATGGCAATGACTCCATGTATCTACATTAGGTCAGTTACAAACACTGGTAGGTGGAAATAGCAAATAAATATAAGAATCAGTCTTACAAAAAGCCAAACATATTATCTATCTATTGTAATTCAGTATTTTTCAAACTTGGCACTCTTAAAATGTGTGGACTTCAACTCACAGAACTCCACAGTATGCTCGCTGTGGAATTTTGGGAGTAAAAGTCCACCCATCATAAAGTTGCCAATTTTGAAAAATACTTATCTAATTCAAAAGTAACAGCTACTAAAGTTTCAGGAGAGTGATACTTTTGTGGAATTGAAACACAGTATTTCTGAATGCAAAGGAATGCTCTAACATTAAACTAGGACTCTCTCCCTAATCCATCTGCTACTGTTTAAACAGAAATATATTATAGTGATGCATTTTTCAAGTGCTGTTGCATTTTCTGCAATACAAATTCCATACTACAAATCTCATATTTGAATGAGAATATAAAAAAGCTCAGAAATAATCTTTTAGAGTATTTTAATCAACTAAAACAAATACATAATTACAATAAAATTCAACTGGAATCTTAAGGTATAACATTAAAATTATTTTTGTTTGTTTAGGAAATTTATCTGCCACCTATCTCATATTCTACATGGCAAAAATCTCATATCAATCTCTATAAAATTATCAAGAAAGATTTGAAGAAGCTATTAATAAAGTGTCTCTGACTACATAAAGGGTGTCAAATAGATTTTATGAATTTAGACAAGCGAAGAAATCAAACCCCCTGCAAAATAAGGAACATTTGTATTAGTTCTCCTATTTTGCAAGAAATAAAACATATTGCTGACAAAATCATTTTGTGCCTCTTTTTCTGTCTCTCCAGGAAAAAAAATGTGCCAAACCAATGGAGCAACAAGCATGATATACTGATATTTGGGACTCTCAACTCAGTTTTCCAGAGCTGCTTTGAAACAGGAAACACCAGATGTCTCCAGCTGACCCACTGCTAAAAATAAAAATAAATTTATTATAATGCATGTAGGGATTTGATTTTTTTAAATAGATAAACCTGCAGTGCTATTGTTCACACAGAAGAAAAAAACATTATGAATGACAGAATCAAAGCAAAATTCTATCACTTTTAAGTTTAGAAAAGTCCCATCCCAAGAAACTTCAAACATTAAATTTAATAATTGTGTATTTTTAATAATTTTTAAAACGAATTAATATGCAGCGAATAGTGAGAGAAATCAAAGGGAAATGTAATAGGGAGAGAAATTACTAATTATTTTATTGACAGCGACCATTCACAAAGCATTGGTTGAGGGAGGTAGAAATATTTTTGCACTTGTGAACTGATTAACACATATTTTTTTAAAAAAATGGTTTCTGTTAATCAATGAGAAATATTTTCCTGCTGACTCAGCTGCTTATAATTTATTTAAAGCAAATTATAATTTTTTTAAAAAAATTAAACAAATGAAAAGCAAGAATACAATCTCACTAAACACATCTAATTTTCAGTAAGTTGTCCCCAATTACACTTCTAATTTGAAAAGATCTCTTTCAGATTTAAAATATGATTTTTATTCCATTATCCATTTTTATTAAAAATTTGGCCTAGAGATGAGTCAAAAATGCCCTCATATTCACACTTATTTTATCTAGCACTCATTTGCTATTTTAGCAATATGTACTCTGTCAAAGAAACCACCTAAGCAAATCTGATCCAGCATTCTACGATGTGTATAAACTTATTCATGGAATGCTTAAATAGCACCCCCATACATTTCAACAATGGACCTGGGTGGACAGGAATAACTATTCATGTGCAATTGATATACTGCAGTATTTCAAAGGCATAAATACATAAAACTCATATTTGGAAAAGGTCTTTTATTTACATATGTGAACATCTGATTTTTTTTGTAAACATTTAAATCTATAACTGAAACATAATGTTCCACCTTATTCCAATCTTTTCCATGATTGCCAATCAAGATCAAAAATAACATCTTCCAATTGCTAAATAGGAGATAGATATACAAAGTATCCAAACATTAGAATGTACATTTTGACTTTTTTTTTTTTTAATTTGAGTAAGCAGATGACTTAAAGAATTGTGGAAACTAGAATTAGTGGAAACTAGAATTAGTAATATGAATATTATCAGCACATGCCAGCTAAGATACAACGATATGACATCAAACCGAAAAGACAATTATATTAGAAATTAAAGAGTATAAACTGTAATATGAATATTGGTATCTTCAAATACTTCTTCAAGCATTGTTGAAACTTTCTTCCAGTCCAGACGGTCAAGTCCACAACCAATCCTGAAACATAGAGGATACAGGTGTCTTTATTGGATATTTTCTTTGAAACATTTATTTCACCATAATTTATAGGAAGCATATAAGCAATGCCAAAACAAGGATTAGTTCAAACCAACATATTAGGTGCAAATATGATAACAATACTAATTGCATGCCAACTATCTCAATATAGTCATAATTATTGATTTATCCTAAAGAAACATTCCTATTATTATTATTAGCCCACAAGTGGAAAAGAAGTCTTGTGGCTCACAAAAATATAAGAGTGTGTAATACTCTTATTACACTAAGAAACTAAAATTCATTCACTAGCTCATTAGGTATATCACTAAGCTAAAAATCTAGATTTTTTTTAGAAACTCATCTATAATTATGACCATTTTCTGTCACATTTTTTAAGCTATAGAAGTGTGGTGCTCTCAAACTACATTTTCTCAGTTATACAATCACATATCAGAACATATCTTCCATTTAATAACATTTCAAATTCAAATCAATGAAAACAGGTCTTTTGCTTTAAATATACAAAAATACGTTCTGAATGTACTTAATATAAAAAGTCAGTAGCTCTTCCAGTTCTTTTGGACTTATTATGGAGCCCTGCTTTAGACCTTTTACAAAGACAAAATATTTCAATATAAATAAAAAAGTAAAAGATTTTCAATTAATGAAAAACTTTTTTATTTGTCAATGTGCAAATATAGTACAGTATAGTAACATTACAGTATAAAAATGAGCTTACTTTGGCATAGAAACGTGAATTACTGCATTTTTCAGACAATGGATTTTCATAGCTTCTAAACTCTTCCGTAAATTGTCATATGTAGGTTTATGAAAATATTTGTTCTTTGAGATCTAAAAAGTGGTAAAATGTAGATAAGACACATTTTAGATCTGATTCTGTGTTGCATGTTATATGTCTATTGAGATATTTCAGTAAATTCAGTGGGAAATCTTTCATAAATATGTTCCAAATTGCAGCATTAATCCAGAAACAAATCCTACTAAGCTCAAGGTGCTTTGCTTCTGGATAGACATACAAAGGATTGCATTAATATATTATTCTTATGTATTAGATTTTAATTCCATTCAAAAAGAACATAACAGGTTTTTCATCTCAAGATTATTTTAAAGTGTATAATAAATATAAAAGGGCACCCTAAATTATCAGTCAAAGGAATTCCTAAGGGGTTTTAATCTGTGCTGTGATAAAAAAGCTGAAGTAGAATTCTAAAATGTCTTTTTAAATGACAATTTAGAGGATGATAAATGAAATGTAATTAAAATCCTTCAGACCCATTCATTACTTGCTTTTAGATAGACATAATAATATACTCAAATAATAAACACATTTTATTTAGAAGAAATCTAACTGATTTAGAATGTTACTTCTAAATGATTTGGTTTAATTTATAAAGATTGAAGTATAACTTCAAGAATCATTGAAAATTTTTTTATTACAATTGAAACAATACACTTATCACAGTAAAACCGTGATTATCTGATGTCAATTGAGAATTTATTAGATAGCAATAGCAATAGCAGTTAGACTTATATACTGCTTCATAGTGCTTTACAGCCCTCTCCAGGCAGTTTACAGAGTCAGCATATTGCCTGCAACAATTTGGGTCCTCATTTTACCAACCTTAGAAGGATGGAAGGCTAAGTCAACCTTGAGCTGGTAAGAATCGAACTGCTGGCAGTCAGCAGAATTAGCCTGCAATACTGCATTCTAACCACTGCACAGCAAACATTGCATTTGTATAGCCATTCCTTCAGAGAAACCATTATTAAAAATTTCAGCAATATTTGTCAATGAAGAGGGTGCTTAACTTCGCCAATCATAATACTTAATGCATAAATCTTATATTTATCTCTAGAATATCTATTCTTGTATTAGAATCAATAATATGCCCAAAGACATACCAAGTAGTATACGTATCTAGTTTCCCTCTTCAGAACAGCCACATCTCCAGTCTTCTTGTCTGTTAGAATTTTTTTAAAAATATCAGTTAATTCCTAATCTCCAAGTACTGAAAATATGTTTATTGTTTTTCAGAACTATCATAATAAACATGTAATAGACCTCTATGGCCATCCTTTATTCTCATATATTTTACAGACACCAAACAATATATAAATTGATTATATGTGAAAAATTTACAGCACAGGATTCAATGAGTAACTTAATCAAGTGTAGGTAAGAATTAGATGAGTGCTTATATAAGATTCATTCTAAAATTGTAATATGGTTACTGTCCTATTTCTAACATTTCTAAGTTACAATTCCACATTATACTAGACAATACAACTGAATAAGCTGGTAACAAGTGTATAATAACATATAGGGTGCATTTAAAACTATAATATACTGATAAAATTCCTGCCCCATCAATAGTCTCAAAGTCCCAGACTTTGTAGAGCTAACATACAAAGTAAGCTCTTCGATCACCTATTGGTTCTATTCATCTGTTGTTTGTTGTTAACACAAACCTTGTTTAGATACTTTTAAACAAAAGTAATGAACTTCTGGCTGCTTGTCTCCAACGCAGGAGCATACAATATGATGAAAATTAGTAGTTCCATTTGAAATAGGTATGTAACTACAGCAAGTTAAACCTCTTCTGCGGCAAGCTTAACTACTGATTATATCCTGAATATTACTTAATAATTGTATTATTTTTGTTAGTTAACTATGTTTATACTTGTTTTGTTTCTATGGAAGGGACAATTGTCCCTGACCACTAAATGCCCTCAAAAGCTAGTTTAGAAGCCCCCGCCACACTCAAAAAACCCCATCTGGAACACATTATGTGTTTCTGCCACTTGAAGAAATCTATTTGCATAACACTCACTTTTACTGTATAGTAAGTATAATAAATACCTAGATTCTGTGGTTTTATAAACTGCTCTACCTTGACCCTTTACTTACGTTGGTTCAAAAGTTCCTGAACGCCACCAAACTTCCTCTTAAAAATAGCAGCTATGCCAGCACTCATGTGACAATCCTCACTAATACAGTGAGCCAAGGAATCTGTTTCTGAACAAGTAAAAAGATCTCCCTGTACATATTTAATCTGAGTAAAAAGGAAAGAGAAGACTCAATATATGAGATAAAATTTCAGAACTAGAAAATGTAAGGCAATATATAAAGATAATATCACAGTTTAAGCTGCTGACTACTACACATAAGAGACTCTTAACACAATGAACCTACTGTAAAAGTATTTACTAAATTTCCCACTATATAAAATAGGGCTTCTTTTGAGATATACACAAAATAAAACAATAAAATAGAATTTATTTCCAAGAAAAATATGTATTATGCATTCAGTAACATAGGTAGCCAACATCCATAAATTGAGTTTAACTCCTGGTGGTTTCATTTAGTTTTCTGGGTAACAGCACTACATTACTTTGCCACTGCCACATTCTCATTTTTTTTTATTTCCTACAACCATAGAATTTCTTGGCATCCTCCTTCCCAATAATCAGTTCAATGTTGTTTTCTCTAATATCCAAAGGATCACTCCTCCTAGTATATATCCACATAAATATTAAAGTCTCTTTCTCTTCTTTCACAGCTGTACATTGTGCAAAGAAACAGGAGAGACTCTTAAAGTCTAACACCTAGATTCAGGATCCTCCTCTTCGTGGAGATTTGATACTATGTTGGCTTTATTTTAACGTCAGCTTCTTACCTGGCTGTTCATCTGTTAACAACTCTATACGTTCTGGATTATTGATTTGTTTTATTTTAATGTCTGTTATCTCAATACTGTTAAATTTTTTCAACTGCCTTTCTTATTTTTAAGTTTGTATTAGGAAAATGAAATTTTTAATTTTTGTTTTGAATCATAATCATAATGCTCTTCAAAGGGAACTTCCATTAAGTTAAGCAATCATTTTCTTAAAGCCTTTAATGGAATTATTACACTGACTACAGTTAAAGCAGGCACAACTGGTTAACTTGTTTTAGAAACAAAGTTCTACAGTTGCCGAGTTAGAGTATTTGTGGACTCTGTGAATGGCATTTGGGGAATTTATAAAATAGATTACACCAGTACTTTATAGAGTAAGAAAGATAAGAAAACATATTTCACTGCAAAGGTAAGAAAACATATTTCACTGCAAACAGGTCAGGAAAGTCATAATTATAAATCTTTAGGGGAGTAATTAATTTATCTCATGCCACAGAAATCTAAGGCTTCATGCCATACAAAAATAGATTTCGAGATAATGGGAAACTTCTTATATAGACTCATACTGCAATCTATTCCGGGTACTCATGCTGTAACATAAAATCAATTTAAGTATTCCATGCTAACGATCAATAGATCATTTATGCTGTAAACAGTAGATGGTAGAAAACTTTAGGACAATTTTTGCCTTAATGACCTGTAGTACTGGATTAAGGGCATATTATCTGTAATTAACAATTCTTAAACCTTCATTTTCTGTATCTATACTAAATAGTCATACAAAAATTTCAACAGATTCAATGAACTGTATGTAAGCTCCAATTACTTTCAAGTAAGTATACACAATTTAAATTGGGTTAGCTTATATTATAGTTTGTTTTATAATATAAATCAATAACATTGCAGAAGGTAAAAATGCAAGTGAGCCTCAGCTTGTATAATTATTTCCTCTTTGCAATCTGCAGAGGAACTCTTTGGGAGAGTTTTTGCCCTTAGATGATTTATTCTAATTTCATTAATATTCTAATTTAATTTATATAACATATTAAAGATCATGTTTATATCTTATCATATATATGATGAATAATATATCATACAAAAGTGATGTTGTTCACAAAATATTCTTAAGTGAAGTTCAATCAGATCACATTAAATTTCACATAATTTGAAATTTCATGTCATTGTCGTTTTCAAGCATGATTTATAATAGCAAGCACAGTCTCTGCACAAGGTCTATAGCCTGCAAGACAATGCAATATGCATGGAAGCAAATGTATATCCAGACATATACACTCACACTATTGGACTCCAAACCTCACCTTTCTTTTAGCATCATATTTATTTGGAACTGTTCCTCTTGGCCCCACAAAGTTTCTACTAGATTGTAGCCACTTGTTAAAAGGAAAGTTTAGTATGTTAGCCATTCTGTGAGTGGATCAATCACAAAATTACTCTTGAAATGCCAAATGCATTCTTACTATAAAAAGGCTGGTTATTCCTCATTTATAAACATTATTGGTATAGAGTAACTTTAAATTTTTAAACAGAACAGGAAGAGCTACTGCTTTATATTATACTTTATAGCATTCTAACTACTGCTTTGGGAAATTGCCAAATGATAAGGGATCAATTTTCTTATGAATCCATTAAAGGGGAAGAAAACAAAGAGTCAGCCATTCTATCTGGGTACTCTTCCATTGTGAGTTAATTTTTTTAAGACAATGTTTTACACCTGAGCAATCAGCCTGTCAAAGATGAGGAAAAGGCAGAACTATCAACAGCACTGACTTACAGACACTGCAGAATGTATTATTAAAGGATGGATAAAATATGAATAGTACTGAAAATGAATTGTATTATAACCTATTTGGCAGAACTATATGACTAGCATACTAAGATGAAGTGAAACCTATGCAAAAATTAATTCCAATAGTTTTACAAATATGAGTTAGGATTATTTTTTCCTGCATAAACAAAACCCTACAATCAATCCTCCACACCAGATGGTATTTTTTAAAAACAGACCAGCTAATTTCTGTTGAGAAATAAAACTATCTTTAGAATTCAAAACTGAACTTCAAATTAAAAAAAAAACTTCACTACAAACCCTTTCTTCATTTCCAGAAACTCGGGTACTAGCCATAACTGGGTGGATCACAGGAATTTTTTTCAGCTACAAAGATTAGAAAATAATAATTTTCATATTCATGGCAGGAAAAGCAAGCAAAGAGAAATGACTACTAAAAAATTTAAAATTGCTGTAAACCCAAACTATCAAATACGAATTAGGGCACCAGTTAGATAGCGATAACCTTCCCTTTCCCCCCCCTCCATGAAAAACAATAATTCTGAGACTTTTTAACACATCCTTCGCCCTCTCGTGTGTAAAAACCTATACAGGGCCACAAAAACACTGCTTTTGAAACCGGCAAAGCTCCACCAAAGGGCGAGTGGCCGCCCCTCGATGCGCCTCCAAGACATGACGTGTTTCCTTAGCCCGCCCCCGCCCGCCAACTCTCTAAGACAGCAATGGCGGGAAAAAAAGGACCACACTGGCCACCAGCCTAGACATACAACTGTAGCATTCGGTTTCGCCTCCCACTAAGTTCTAAGTTCTGTTACGGCAACCCTCTTCGGAAGCCCCTTAAACAAAAAACACAAAATGTCAGCCTTTACGTGGGCCTCCCTAGGAAGAGGACTCTATGGCCCCGGCCGAGAGCATGCGTTATATAAAGAAGCAGGTCAGTGAAGTGCTATTGAAAAAAAAAGCTTCTGAAAAAAAAATTTATCCTGCGCATGCGTAGAAAAGCTATCTCGAGACGAATTGTTGAGAATAAAAACGGCCTAAACGCACCCGTCAGTTCGAAAGAAGCCAACGCATGCGTGCAGTTTTAAACTCGCGCAAGCATCCGCGGGAGGAACTTTTCTACCGCGCCTGCGCGAGGGCACCCTCGTCTTCTCTTTGTTGGACTTCGGGGGTTGGGCGCCATTTTGCGCGGCGGCTGAGTGGAGGCGCTGATTGGGTTTCGGGGACCGGTGGCGGAGCCAATCAGAACGGGACCCGAACCGGGGGAGCAAGGCACGGTGAGTTCGAGCAGCCAATATGGAGCCCCCGAGCGCCGGCCCAAGAGCCGGGATTGGCGGGGCCGAGTGGCCAGTCAGAAGGCCGCGCGCGGGCTAGGGCTGGGCGAGCGCTGGGGCAGCGAGTGGCTGTGGCCCGTTGGCGCCCGGAACCCGCATCGAAATGGGATGGGTGACTGACGTGGGAACGGAGATGTCATTGTTTGGGGCAAATGCGAATAGGGTTAGCTAGTCCCGTCTTGCTCGGCCCGGTCCCCGCGGGACCGTCGGAGGACCTTCGGAGATGCCTTTCTGTGGCCTTCGCTGGATGAAGGAAACGACAGAAAGCCCATGGGGCGTTTCCTCCAGTTGCTTCACAGGGCGGCTTTCAGTGGCCTGTGTAAGGGGCTCGCCATCCTGTGTTTGGCGGCCGCTGGCCCTGGACGTCAGTTTCGCTCGCACGCCTTTCAGAGCACGGACTGTAACCGAACGCCGCGGGGCTCAGAGCGCTGCGTTTCTCCGTCAGCCACTCTGCCAAATTTTTGCCTCTAAAAAATTAGCCTTTGATCAAGGCCGATATTGTAGCCGAGAAGGCCTCTTCATAGCTGCTTTTTCCCATGACAAAAAACAAAAGGGTTTTCCCTTACATATCATGTTACAATTGTGCAAAAATAATCTGCTTCAGATGAAAGCCACTGCTGCTTATTCCTGGTGTAGGCTGCTCACGTAGTACAAATGTATATTACATAGGCTGACCGATAACCCGAAAGAGGAGCCTTTCAATAAATGGTGGAGTTAAGGCATGTTTTCTTCTGTCATGTTAGAATAACCATATGGTGATATATTCTTCTTTTGTGTGTGTGAAATCTTTTAATGTACTTCCTATACAAAATGGTTTAGTGGCTTATGACAGAGATACTATATAGGAATTCTTAAATTCAGTGTTGGGGAATAACATTGGTTTGGTTTTTTGGTTTCATTATATTCTGTGTTTATGTATTATATCATTGAATATAAAATCTTACAGAGACCATGCTTTATGGCCCAGTCTAGAATTTGCAGAAAAGGAATCTGTTGTATTACTGGCTGTTTTCTTTAAAAAAGCATATTAAAATAACTACTGTTTACATGCAAGTAAGCTTAAAATGTAGTTAAAATAGAAAAAGGTGATATTTCAAATGTAAGGCTAAAGAGTATTAGTTTTCAATTGGCTATCTCTGTAATTTGACAAATGTGCATTTTTCTGCTGAAAACAAAAAGTGTAGAATTTAGTAATGACAGAATAATAGTTGGAAGGGACCTTGGAGGTCTTTCAGTCCAACCCCTTGCTCAAGCAAGAAACCCTATACCATTTCAGACAATTGGTAGTCCAACCTTTTTTTAAAAACCTCCATGTTGGAGCACGAACAACTTTTGGAGGCAAATTGTTCCACTGTTTAATGCAAAATCTCACAATCGTATAGCCTGCTTGCTTCCTCCTTGGCCTCAGACCCATTACTTCTGATTTAAGCTTATCGGTAGGATTTGCTGAAACCCTGTGTCCTGTACAAATACATTTGATGAAAAACAATTTCAGTTTCTTGACTAAATTAACACTGGCAGTGTCCTGCAGAATTAATCAGAAGATGTGAATATTTGAATGTTTACCTAAACCATCGTAGCCCCACTCCTGGTTTCAACCTATTTCATACTTGGATCTGGTGGAGGTACTTGTACTACTTCAATCTTCTCCAATCCTAATTCCTTGCAGATAATCACCTAATTTATAGCCACCCTACCTTCACCTATGATAGTGGGAAAAGACAAGCCAATATATTTAGAGCTGTTGAGTAGGAAATTGCACTATTAGGTGTTTGTTTTTGACAGTTATAAATTCCTATCCAAGAGGATGTAAACTAAATTTCCCACTGAATTTCCCACTATTACTTTGCCTATTGTTGATGGGGGATAAAATGAGTAAAAACCCTGTGCACTCTTAAATTCTCAAGAGGATCAGCAAGGTTGAATAATAAATGCAGTAATTCTTATAGTTAAAAAAATGCTTGGTAAATGAGAGGAGAGAATCCTCCCTCCCAGAACTTCTAGAGATCCAGAACTTTAATCCAGTCCTATGTACCTAATGCCACCAGTAAGTTTGCCTTTTGAAACTGCTTCACCTGGAAATTCTTCCTTTGTTTCCCAATTTCTATCATTTTACTATATTGCAGTTGGGCCCACTTCATTATTTTAGGGTTCCCAGATAACTTGTACTCAATACACACTGACAATAATGTTCTATGTTTTCTTTTAGGTTTCTGATTGAAGATTGGATAAAGAATTAATACAGAAAACTATGGAGCAGTACACCACAAACAGCAGTAGCTCAACAGAACAGATAGTTGTACAGGCTGGACAAATACAGCAACAGGTATGACAGTTACTTGTAATTCAGATTTCAGTATGTTGGTTCTTAACAGTTTAAGTGCCCAGAAAAATAGGTACTTCCATACTGTTGGTAGAGCTGTGCAAAATATTGGGTTACCCTTTTTTGTTGCAAAAGAAGCATCACTCCTTCAAGTGTAAAAACAATCATGCTCCCTCCCCAATGTCTTTGCCCATATATGTGCACAGAGAGTACTTCTACCAGAATTTTTGCCAGAATGAATTATACTTCCATATGGTTTGCATAGCCCTACAAGGGCACATTTAATCTTTATACATTAAAGCATAATTATGAAAAATAAATCGTATCTTGGCCAGTTCTAACACTAACATAATGATTTGTTTTATTTGTGAATGATGTCAATATAAAATAATTTAATACTTCATTACAGTACTACCTACAAAGTTAGAGATCTCTTTGATTAATCTAAATAAGGTTATGCTTATCGTATATTTTTCTTTGATATCTTGGCTATATTTTTTAAATTTCAATGCTTTTTTCTGAGAGAAATCACAATGTAAGGCCTACACTGATTTAGGCACAATGCAATATCAATGTGTTCATATTTCTTCCCTTCAGAAGCCACAAGTCAGCCATCTGTTTCTTTTCTGTCCTTATTTAGAGCTTCCAAACTTTGCACTGAGAAAGGGTGTACTTTGCTCCTTTTTGACCAGAGAATAATATGAAGATGAAACATTGGTAGGCCACCACATTTGAAATGGATTCACACATTCCTCCTTGTAGGGCCTGTTGTCTCTTCTGGCAGGTTTTTTTTTTTTTTAATCTTGTGTTGAGCATTTCCTTTCCTCCTGCCAAATTTCAAGCTCTTCCTGTTCCTGTTCCCAGCAGCAGGGTGGTGTGACTGCTGTCCAGTTGCAGACTGAGGCTCAGGTGGCATCTGCCTCAGGCCAGCAAGTTCAGACCCTCCAGGTAGTGGTGATCTATCTGTTGTTTTTGTGTGAGCATTGCATGAATCACACCATCACTGCATGTTCAATGCTGTGTTTGCACTGGGGCTTCAAATGGAAACAGAAAAATAGTGGCAGTTTTAATTATAAGTAATATGTCCCTAAACGGGATGGAATAAGCTTCTCAACCAATTCTCATGTTGGCTGTGAATCAGAGGAGTTACAGTTCAATGTATGGATGATAGTTCATTCTAACTGTAGCAGATAACAGTTCAATTAACAAAAATGTTGGAATGGATTATCCAGTTAAAAATGCATGCCGCAAACTGACTTATCTGAAACTTCTATTACTATAGATTGAAAAAATAAGGATAATATGCTGGGGGAGGACTGTGGGCTTGCCACTCTTCAAAAAGTCTTTTTAAATAAAGAACACTTAAAATTATCTATTTGAAGGGTTGTTTTCCCTTTTACCAGTGAGATTTGCAAAAAAGGAAATTTTGTTTGAGAGATTTAGTTAATAGATTATGTTTAGGACAAAAATCAATAATATATGTTAGCTTAAAATATTAAAATACTGGAGAAGAAAGATTTCAAATCCTGATTTGTGTTCTTGTGAAATAGTAAATGTCATGTGAAGACTCTTATCATGTATTAAAGAAAACAAGACTACTATTTCCGTTTCCTCTGCCCTTTTTAAGGATTAGTGTTATAAAGCACATTAACATCCATCTTATAATATCAAAGGTATCTTTTTTCTTATTCAGATTTTTTTGTTTTGTTTTCAAAATATTCAATATTTTATTACATCTAAGAAATAATAAAATAAAGTTGATAAAAATGTATTTGCATTATATTGACTTACCCTGAATTTTACACTGTTCCTTTTTAGCTCTTCTATTTCTTGTTTTGTTAGCCTTTTCCATCCTAGAATTATCCATATGTGTTCAATTTCAAATCCATAATCACTTTGGTAATCATGAAAATTAAAACCCAGTATTCTGAAAGAGTTTTTATTTAGCTTGGCCTAAACTCCATAGAAAAACCTTCAGAAGACATTTATATTGTATGTTCTTCTTGGACTTCCTTTTCAGTTCCCAAATATGTCTGAGTTAGTTACAAGTGCACATATAGGTAGACCTTATGACCACAATTGAGTCCAAAATTTGTGTTGCCAAGCAAGACAGACATTAAGTGAATTTTGCCCCATTTTATGACCTTTCTTGCAGCAGATGTTAAGTGAATCACTGCAGTTGTTAAGCTAATAATATGATTGTTAACTGAATCTGGCTTCCTATTGACGTTGCTTGTCAAAAGGTCGCAAAAGGTGATCATAGGCCTCTGGCACACTGCAACTGTCATAAATACATCCCAGTTGCCAAGCATCTAAATTTTGAACACATGACCATGGGGATGCTGCTGGTTGTAAGTGTGAAAAATAGTCATAAATCACTCTTTTCAATGCCGTTGTAACTTCGAACAGTTACTAAACAAATGGCTGTAAGTCAAGCACTACCTGTATTCATAAAATATTTGAGTTTCATGAAATTCAGGAGCCTCTTGGTTCCTTGTATTAATAGATCATATAGTACGCAATACTTTGGAATCAGTCTTAGAAAAACATCTGGCTGCTTTGCAAGCAGGTGGTCTGTTTGTATCCTGTGCACTGCACGGCATGTTCTTGAGATCAGATCCAAGAGTTGAACAGACATAATAGGCAATATACATTATATTCTTATCTCTCACACTTATTTAAGAATCTTGAGAATGGAAACTTGTTTCAGAAACATACCCTTATAGCACATATGTCAATTTTATGTAATTTACATCTAAAAGACATGAAGGACATTGTTTTGATTCTTATTCAGATCTCATAATTTTAAGCATCTGTTTTAAAATTAATACTACCTGAACGAAGTCTCAATCTGTGTGAAATATTTGGAAGTCTATGTGTGTAACTAGCAAATGTCTAGCACCTCTGTTCTAATGCATGTCATGACACAAACACTCTGGGATCACAATTTCTGTTGCTAAGTAAGTTATGCTCAAATTTGTGACCTTTTTTGCCTTGGCTGCTAAGTGAATTATTGCAGTTGTTAACTGAATCACGGGGTCATTAAGCAAATTTGATTTCCTCCATTGACTTTGCTTATCAAAAGCCTGCTGGGAAGATCACAAATGGCAATCACATGCCCCCTGCACAGTGACGGTCATAAGTCAGATTTTTCAGTGCCATTGTAACTTGAAATGATCGAAATTGTTATATGTTCAGGACTAGCTATATGTTGTTGAGAAACAGGTTATGGGGCTGTACCCTGTGATTTTCAAGGTCATTTCCCTTCTCCTCTTTCTTCCTCCTCAATTAAGAATGGCCTTCTAGTTGTTAGCCATTTTTCATTTTTTGATGCTTCCAAAACCTTGGTCTACTAACCTCAAGCATGGATTTGTCAATGATTTTAGTCAGAATCCATGGAGCGCAATTTGCTTGACCCATGTACTTTCTTATTGTGACTCTTATTGTTGTCCCAAAACTTGTCCCAAATGTTAAGGTCTCTTTGTCAGGCTTTTCATTATTTGTAGTCAGTCCTTTCCTACTTTCAAGAGTTTTGTAGAATTAATATTGATTTGCTCTAAACTGCAAGTTCTGTTGAAATTAAATTATTTGATTGTCCTGTTGCTTGATCTTCTCTATAGGAGCATGACTCTTTGTTTCAGTTGCTCTGTAGCCTCTGTGGTTTTCCTGATTGTGCTTCACAAACAGTTTTGCTTCGATTTCTTATTTTTCAAGTTTCCTTGTCTCAAATTCTTCAAATTGCTCAAATCTATGCAAATTTCTTTATCTTTAATTCCAGTCACATTTAACATTTTTTTCTTAATAATATCATTCCTTGATATATTTATATATATATACATTTCTTATTATTCATACTTTTATATTATTATGCTTGGTCACATAGTCATCAGATATTTAGACTTGAATTGACATTTGTATTCACCTATCCAGTCCTTTTCAAGGACCTGGAATAGGCAGATGTTATTTTTGAAGGTATATTATGATGATCATTTTCTGCAGAATTTCTATATAGGAAAAGGTTGGTGCCTGAAGTTAGTTGCTTATCTGAGCTTGTGTTTCATTGTGGTTCTTTTTTTTCCCCCCATTCTTTAGGTCCAGGGTCAGCCACTGATGGTACAAGTGAGTGGAGGCCAGCTAATCACATCAACTGGTCAACCAATTATGGTACAGGCTGTACCTGGAAGCCAAGGTCAAACTATTATGCAAGTTCCAGTTTCAGGATCACAAGGACTTCAGCAGGTCAGCATGCCCAAATGATATACAAATTAGTGTTATATGATGCAGTGATTCTATTAAAACGTTTATTAATCAAATCAGTTTTTCAAAATCAATTTAAAAACTAAATCATCAAATTACTAGCTTCAGATTGACTCAGTAATTTGGAAAAGGCTCTGTGCTAGCATTTTCACTAATTAATTTGAAGGATCAAATTAATTTAAATCGGTTCAAATGAATCCATACGTTTCTAGATAAACCAGCTCTGACTAGGAAAATACCAGAAAATATTCCTCTGTCTAGGAAAATACAAGGAAGCTCAAACTGAAATATAAAGGGAAGCAACCATAACTTGTTGCTTGCCCTCATCAACTGGAATTTAAAGATGCAATATGTTTGAATAGACAGGAACTTGTCTATGTTCTTTTTGCTGATAAATTATTTCAGTAAATTACTTTAATTTAATTTAATACTTTTTAAAAAAGTATTACATTTCTGTGAAGAAATTTCTTGCATTTTTACTCTGTGAAATAAAAAAAATTGTGTCAGACAAGAACATCGATTTCAGAGGAAGAAACATTTACCATTTTTATTGCAATGAAGGTAGGCCTTGCTTAACAACTAGTTGTTTACAGACCCTTCAAAGTTTTGACAATCCCCTCAAAAGTACTTGTAACCTAGTTCCACAGTTCTCATGGCACCATATACGTGATTGCATTTCAGGCCCTTGGCAACCCGCTACACTTTTACAGCCAGTTGCAGTGTTCCTCAGTATTTGTTAATGACCACAAAAAAGGTCATAAAATTTGTTTGGTCAAGTGGATGCCTTAACTTATGACTGTAATGACTTATGATGGAGAATCCAGGCTCCGTTACAGTTGTAAGTAAAGGACTACTTATAGGCCTCTCAACTTAATCCAATTGGTGCTTCCCAAAATAATTAGTACTGATCTGTGATTCTCCAGATGTTGCTGGACTGCTTGGTTGTATCACTTGTGTTATTTGTCTAGCCTTCCTCTTTGAAGGAAATGCCATATAAAAATATATATAATGTGCTGCTTGAGAATGATGAAATTCCAACCTCATTTTGTAACCCTCGTTACAAAATCAGTGTAATGTTGTTATTATTTAAAGTCATATTGAACATTGTACAAGAATGCTCCCCTACTTGATGAAGAAGAGCTAATACTATATTTTTGAATACTTCTTGCTTAAGACTTCATATTTTTTTGAATTTGTAAAGAAGGAGTTGCAAAGGTTTTTTCCCCCTATCCTTATTTTTTAATACTGTAGAAAATATGTATAGTGGTGCAGCATTGTTTTATCCTTGCTTTTGTTATGTAATATGAATAATTTTCCTCTAGTTTTTTGTTTGGTTAACAAATCACATCAGAATAATCAATTTAAGCCATGATTAGGAATAGTAGTTAACAGCATCTTACTCTATTTTATATGTCCACAGATTCAGTTGGTCCAGCCTAGTCAAATTCAGATTCAAGGTGGACAAGCGGTACAAGTTCAGGGCCAGCAGGGCCAGACACAGCAAATCATCATCCAGCAGCCACAGACAGCAGTAACAGCTGGCCAAACACAGGTAGCATATTAAAAAGGGGAAGAAGTTGGAGAGGGGTTCAACTAAAGGGAGGAAGGGCAATGGAACATGCAGGGAAATTGATTTTGGCATAGTGTTTTATATGAAACCATGGGAAATCCCAAGGTATAATAGTTTTATATTGCTCCCTATTTTAATTTTGTGTGGTGCTTGCTTCTGTAGACCCAGCCACAGATTGCAGTCCAAGGACAACAGGTAGCTCAGACAGCAGAAGGTCAGACAATTGTCTATCAACCAGTTAATGCTGATGGGACAATTCTTCAACAAGGTAGGAATTCTATGTGCTACAACCATTTTCTAAGAAATATCAACTGTTTCAGAATTACATTCATTTTTAAAAAATTTCTGGAACATGAGTAGGTGGCTAATAAGTTCCATATAGTCCTTGACAGCCTCTTGTGCTCTCTACAATGTGCCCTTTAACAAGAGCTGTTCTGGTAGTTTTCCAGTCTCCTGTTAGAGGACGTACTAAAGAGTGCTCCCATCCCCAGAGCACCAGTGTTTTCATACTGACATCTGATTTACATATTATTTCCTGATCACCTCAGAGCTATACTGTTCTCTTTCCTTCACTTTCGTGTTTTAGCAGATATACTTTCTTAGAGGTATGTATATATACATTCCCAGAAACCTGCCAGTCTAACGTAGATATGCATGCATGTGATTATTTTTAATCTCACAGTAGAATTGTAGGATATTGGTATAATATTAGCAGTTATGAGCTTTCTAGAGTGATGGACTCTAGATGGCCATTACTAATGGTGATATGCTATTTGCTATGACGCTTGGATTTCAGGCATGAAACTGTTGGTTTCCTGAAAAGTACATTTCTTTTTTGAAATGTCAACTGATCATTCTAGAATTCCAGCAAGAATACTAGGTTCAACAAATCCATGTATATGCAACTTGGAAATTACATTTCACTTTCTAAACATGCAATATGTATTAAAATATTTTATTTGTTTATCAGATTTGAACACCACCCATCTCACTATCCAAATGACTGAAGGATTTACAGATGCATTTTCATGGACTATAGGGATAAAAGTGTTGGGTTTTGTTTCTGTTTTTTAAAATACAATTTAGGAGTACCTACTGTATTGTTAAAAATTATTTGTTATAGAGGTTGGAGACTAAGTTATACTCAGCAAGGATAAATATACAGTAGAAATCTTGGGCACTATTATATATGCAGTTTAATACCTAAAGTAAAATATTTAAAATGCATCAAATGTATTAAAATACATGTACATGTACGTTGTAAATGTACAAATGTATTAAAATTAAAATTAATTAAATTACATTTGTAGCAAGTAAATGCAAGATCCATCCATATTTTATAAGGTATTATACAGGAACTTTTGAAGACTCCTCATTGACCGTTAGGAGGTGCTGCTTAGCACTTCTCTTTCCCATAATTTCCAAATGTCATGTGGCATGGTTTATTTTATTTTTACTGAGTGCTCTTGTGTGCCAACATGTTTCACTGATATTCCTGACAACACAACAGAAGTACACAATGAGCCATTCACTATATACCAAGTAAAATTAAATTAAAACCTCCACAGCAGCACACAAACCAGTTTATTAACATTATTCTTAAAAATATAACTGGAGCCTTTATGCCACAGCTGAAGAAATAGTATCTTGTAATGAACATCAAAAGTTTTTTATTAGCTTCTAGAAAATGATAAGCAGTGGAGCAATTTTAATTTCTGAGGAGAAACTTTCTGCTATGCTAAAGTAAATGTATCCATTTGCCAAGATTTCTGTAATATAGCTCCCCCTTTTCTCCACTTTCTATAAATTTGGTTTATAAACTATGAATCCAGCTGACTTGGTTGTAAGTGGCTATTTAGGGGCTTGATATTAATCTGGACAACTGGATACGTTTATTTCAGCATCTGTTTAGCTCTGACTTTAATGTAGGATTCCTTGATCCTCTCACTAATGGCTTGTGTATGATGTGGGAAGGTAGTTGCCCATTTTTTTCTGATAGGCATGCAAAATGTTCCACATGTAATATTTTGCAAACTGCACCACTTGTCCAAATTTTGAGAAATCCTTTACATCTGCTTTGTTTCACTGAATTAGATCTAACTCAGACTTCCTTTATGATTTTTGGATTGAAATTGTTCTTCAGATTCAATTCTGTAAAATTGCTTTAAAATATGCAGGAATGAAATGCAGCATTTGTCAGTAGCATATACAAAATAAAAGATGTTTCTGTTTTAAAAGATCATCAGTAGCATATACAAAATAAAAGATGTTTCTGTTTTAACAGATCATCAACATTTGCATGCACCTCAAAGAGCCTAATCTAAAATATTATGCAGCCTTAATTATACTAGAAGCTAACATGTAGTATAAATTTTCTACTAACTTATGTGAAAAATATTAAATAACAGACATCCCTGTTCCCAATAACTAATATTCAGAAATACATTCCCATAGAACTGGAAAGCCCTTTGGCATTTCCTATCTGTCGCACTCTGCTCTGTGAATTTATTTAAGCCTATATAAAACCTAGTGGAAATTATTATACCTTTGTGGAATGATACAGTTCAATTAGCAACAAGTGAAAAGTAAGGTATCTCTTGTATTTATTGCCTTAACAACAAGGTATTTAGCAAAAACTTTGAATTTCATGCTGATTCAGCTCTGTTTAGAAATACATGCATAACTCTCATTTCAGATCTCAAGTAAAAAAAAAAATCTTATTTAAAAAACATCCAAAAGCATGACTCAAAATGAGGGAATAACATTTGAAATTGTTCCTTATTTTTCATGGGTTCTGTTCTGTTTAAAGTTACAGTCCCTGTTACAGGCATGATCACCATCCCAGCAGCTAGTTTGGCTGGAGCACAGATTGTTCAGACTGGAGCCAACACCAATACAACTAGCAGTGGACAAGGGACAGTAACAGTGACTCTGCCTGTTGCTGGAAATGTGGTTAACTCTGGTGGAATGGTCATGGTGTGTATTGCATTCTATACTCCTCCTTCTATTATTGTGTATTATTGTATACCACAAATGGGCAAACTTTGGGGCCTCCAGGAACATTGCCTATTTTTTCTCATGGCTTTTCTTCCAGCAAAGTTGCTTACAATCACTAATTTTCCTCAAACCTTGCCAGCAGGAGAAACAAATAAATAAAATGTATAGTACCATCATTGGACAGGAAAGTACCATAAAAGCCCATCCACACATATGCTGACCTTCAAATTTTTAACCAAAATATCATGAAAATTGTGCAATTCACAGATAATACCAACCCATATTTTTCATTATATTTTGGTTGGAAATTTGAAGCTTGGCTTATCGTTGTATGAACTTACATGTAAGTATATATGAGAAATGCAGTACTGTGGAAAAGTAGTATGGTAGATAGTTGGCTAAATCCATCCATTTTGGCACCTCAAATTATCCATGAGTATATAGAATAATGAAATTTCCCTCCACCCTAATGATGGGATGTTTTATTAGTATGTATGATATATGTGAATGAGAACTTTTGAATGATTGCAAAGCCCCTTCTCAGAAACATTCATGAGCCACAGGACCAAAAAGGTTGCCAGCTTGATTTATAAATTAGACCATTGCTTTTTAATTTGATATCCATTTGCTTTATTTTATTTTAAAGAAATTTGCTTTGATTTTGCATATTTAGAATATAGTTGATGTAATAGAAATATTCAAACTACAGATGCTTTTATATTAATTTCTATGAGATTTACTGCAGAATTTTGAGAATATTTTTTCAGGAAGTGACTTGAATTCTAGGAGTCGGTTGTGTTCACTTCCCACTCCTACCTTGTCTTTCTGTGCCTCTTGGTGAGATATAGTTTAATCAGGCATTTCCCTGCTTTGATGTAGATGGTGCCAGGTGCTGGATCAGTGCCAGCCATCCAAAGGATACCTTTGCCTGGGGCTGAGATGTTGGAGGAAGAGCCTCTGTACGTGAATGCAAAACAGTATCACCGGATTCTGAAAAGAAGACAAGCAAGAGCCAAGTTAGAAGCAGAAGGAAAAATACCTAAAGAGAGGCGGGTGAGATTATCAGTTACTATTATAATTCATGAGATGCAGAAGATAAATAGCTGTATATCATTACAATTGCTCAGTAACATCCATCTTTAGAAGTCTTTTCCCAATCATTATAATGAACCATATGGGACTCAAAAGGATACCATATTTACAGTATAAACTTTTTTGTTGTTGTTGTTTAATGAATAGAAATAGATTATTGGTTTTCAAAGTCTTTCTTGGCAAGTCACTAGAAATAGATTGCCTATGTTTTTAGGCATAGATGTTTCATACATTTTAATGAGTTAAAATAAATTTCAGCTGAAAATTACAGAAAAAGTTCTTAGCTGATCATAGAAGGACGAGAGAAGATGCATATACTTGTACATGTGGAATACATTGCACTTTCAGAAGGAGTTCAACACGTTAATACTTACGCCTTGTTTAGGACAGTGATAAGATTTGTTTAGAACAGCAGTACAAATTTTGGTTACCTCTTGTTAAGAAATAATGACAACTCAATAAATGAGCAAGATGTAGAAATGAATCGGTTATCCTGGATAAAGAAGTAAGCAGTCTTTGTAACTTTAATTGTGGAGGCTTGGTTATTATATAAGGGATAGTTACATAATAGAAAGTGACTCCATAAACAAAGAGAGATGGGTTCTGAACATTAAAAGGATAAAGCTCAAAATTATTAGCCATGTAACAGTTTCTAAAAGATTTGCATTCCTTCCATTCTTTTTTGTGTCTCCTGTTATCTTTCTAGCCAAACAAATAACTTACCCCCAAAGATCATCATTCTTTTTCTCAGATCTTTGAGCAGTTTTCTCTCCTTTATTCTTTCTCCAAGGGGGCCCCCAGGGATTAGAATTAGATAAAATGCCTCAGTAGTCAAATACTAAAAGAAGGGAAGAAGCTCTACAGAAAAGCCCATACTTACTTTTCACCTTTACGCCCTCTGGGTTAACTTACATGTCACTCCAAATACTGTTTTAGTTGAAGTAATATTTAGCAGTTAGATTCCAGGCCCTAGATCTCTGGGTATCTACTTATAAAGGCAGCCTATATAAGTCTTCAGGACCCAACTTTTCTGTTTGATGATTTGTGTGGGAAATAAGTGCACATTTGTTAGAAATATGGCGGTTCCCAGATATTCCTTCTTTTTTATCTTAAGAGCTGGAAGAAAAAAAACGGCAGCCGTAAGAAATATGTAACAGTTACCTTTATTTTAAAGCAGAATTCAGTTTGATCAAAAAATTTGAATGGTGATATATTTGGATGGCTTGATATACATTTGATTCCTAAACATTGTGTTTTTCTTTATGAAGCATCAGATGGTTCCGTTACTGAAAGGGCAATGTCAGATAGTATATACCAGGGGTCTGCAACCTTAAACACTCAAAGAGCCACTTGGACCCATTTCCCAGAGAAAAGAAAACACTGGGAGCTGCAAAACGTGCACACTTGCGCGCAAGAGGGGAATAGAGCTTGATTGAAGAGTTTAATTAAAAAGAAATAGAGGCTGCTGTGCATGAGTTCTCTCTTTCTCTCTCTCTCTTTCCTCTCCTCTCTCTCTCCCTCTCTTGCTCCTCTTCTCCCCTTTCTCTCTCTTTCCTCTCCTCTCTTTCCTCTCCCCCTTTCTCTCTTTCTTTCTCTCTTTCCTCTCCCTCTTTCTTCTCCTTCTCTCTCTCTTTCCTCTCCCTTTCTCTTTCCTCTCCCTCTCTTTCTCTCTGTCCTCTGCCTCCCTCTCTCTTTCCTCTCTTTCTCTTTCCTCTCCCTCCCTTTTTCTCTCCCTCTCTCTCTCTCTCCCTCCGATCTTTTGCTTACCTGGCAAGCTTGCTTCAGGCTGTTCTACAACAAGCTGACACACATTCTTATTGGGCTGCCTCTTTCCTGCCCTTCCTGCTTCCTGCAGAGACGCAGCCAAGGCAGGAGCCCCACCCAATAAGCTTGTCAGCTCATCAGAGAACTGCATGAGGCCACTCTTTTTTTTACAGAGAGAGAGGGGGGGGGTGCAAGTGCCTCTCTCTGTCCCTGTCTCTCTCTCTGCAAATGATAGAGGAGGCTGGGAGCCGCAGGAAATGGGTCAAAGAGCTGCATGCGGCTCTGGAGCCGCGGATTGCTGACCCGTGGTATATACATTATAAAGGCCAAATGGGCTTTTGTTTTTACCTCTTGATATCAATCCAACCTAGTTGTAAAAAATGCTAGTTAAAATGACTAGAATAAGTTAATTGAAACTCACGTTCTTTAGGTCTGTGGGGCTTCAATATTACATTTTGGGGAAATTTCTTCTTTCAAGCTAGATAGTACTGAGGATTTTTCCCTTCCCTTCCTTTTTAGCCTTAGTATTATTTCAGCCTTTTCTGCCCCTAGTCTTTACTTAATGAAAATGGATGGATATGTGTTCTAGCATTACATAAAGTGTGCTTTCATCTCTACAATTTTGTAATTGTATATACAGAAATATCTTCATGAATCCCGACATAGACATGCGATGGCAAGGAAACGAGGAGAAGGGGGACGCTTCTTTTCTCCAAAAGAAAAAGATATGCAGGTAAATGAAATATTTATTTAAATTGATTTTCATGGCTTGGTGCTTCCAATTTACCATTTTAGCATTTACCAGAAATAAATTCTGAATTTTTGTTACTTATTTTTCATTTTACAAAGCATGCAGACTTGGTTCACTTTGACATTTTCACCTAGCTCACTTATTAAAAAAACTATGGAACACTTAAGTAATATATGTCAGAAAACAGTCATCTCCAGGTGAGTGGGGGAGCACGCTTTAATTTTCTTATACATGTTTAAATTCTTAAATAAAAATAAAGTTTATACTGTTAGTACATTTCAATATATGTAGTTTCAAAAGCAATGCCACTGGTATTTATTTAGCAACTGCTTTTGACAGAAATCTTACTTAATTGTGGAGGTAATCTGATTTGCTTTGTTTTATAGAGTAAAAAAATTACAGTTATTCACAGTATAATTCTGCTAATTTATTTTTATTTACATATTTTAAAATTTACATTAGAAATCATAAACACTATTTGTTTCTGAACTTTGAGAATTTGGGTGGTCTTAAAGCATCAGGGACAGGCATAAATAAATAGGGTTTTTTCACATCTGAAGCCAATACTTAATGTTTCAGGCTGCATTAGTATGAGTACCACATTCCAAGTAGAAACTAATAAATCCATCTGCAGATAAGTCTCCTCTCCTTGAAGCAAATTTCTATCATTCCTGATTTGTACTATAGCAACAGGTCTAACTTTAAATAACATGTGGCTCTTGCTTGTGTTTAGATATTATGAAGTAGATGTAGCTATTACAAAACCTTTTTTTATATATATACATACAGGATCCTGGCCAGGCAAACGAAGAAGCTATGACACAGATGATTAGAGTATCCTAACAACCAACTAAATAACAAAACATCTGGACAAATATCTTGTGTCTCTGCAATTGTTCCCTCACCTTTCTATCAAATCAACTTCTGAATGGGAAAATTTGCTACATGCACAACCTTGTTCTTTTTCAGAACAAATAATACACTTGCAGTGAGTGATTTGTTTTAGGCTTTTCAATGCAGTGAATTCAATCAACTGAGGTACTAATGGAGTGTCCATTCACCCTTCTCAGACCGGGGATTGAAAATCTGGCTCAAGAGACCTTTAGCATTCTTGGCAGGACAATGGCTCAGCTTGATAGCAATAGCAATAACTGACTTGTTAAAGGAAAACTATACCATTTGGAAACCATGGGGTTTGAACCACACAGAAATACTAATATTTGGAACAGCCAGAGCTGACATGTTTATTTTCTCAGTGTGATTTTTTTGGTCTCTCACAGACTCAACTTTTTATTACGATTGTTATTACTTTCTAGCAGCATAACTTTCTATTGTTGAAGCATAATCTCTCATAAAATCTTGCCAAGGTGCTGAAAGTTGTCCTTGAAATACTGTCCATCATATATCTGGGACAAAATTAATCTCATCTCAGGGAATGGCCTTTGGGGGAGGGGTATCTGATTTTATGGCTAGTAAAGTGTTTTGTAGCTGAATTGTGCTTTTGACAGTTAAAGTTCACTAACCTGCTCCCCTAGAAACTGATTGTGCAGGTTGTGAATGCCTGCAGTTATGCAAACTAGTCTTTTGCCTGGACCCATTGATTTTCTGTGATCAAAGGATAAGATGCATTACTGAATTATGAACATCAGACAGTATGTAAGGACCATATCACTCATCTAACTAAACTATAATAACTGTATCCTGTCAAAGTTCAGACTGCTTTGGATATGAAAATATAAACTCTTTTCAAATTTTACATATAATGCACTTTGTAAATCTAACAATTCAAAATCTATTTCCTGTTGTGAAGAACTCTTTCTTCCCCTTGGTCCTGTCTATAACAGTTTTATGTTTTATTGTTACACAAAACTGCAAAACCATGATTGTTTTTTGCAGTCTCACTTGATCACTCAGATTTTGACATCAGATCTGAGATTCATACTGGCACATATAGCTTTATTTCATTTGTGTATCTTCCATTACTTATTTTGGTAAATGCCGAGAGGTCTGCTTTTGTATGTTCATAGGCTTCTGTTCAGCCCTTCGGCTGCTCAGCAAATCTGAGAGTGGAGGAATACTGGAGTAGGTCTGTTATGGAAAACAGTGAGTTAAACACAATGCTGCATACAAAAAAAAAAGTGGCCTGGTAATTGACCAATACATTTTTAAAGGGGTCTTGAGATTTTAGAAAAAGTGGTTCCTTACTAAAAAAAAAAAAAAAAAGTAGATATTGGTCCTCACTTAATTTTGTTGTAGCTTGGAGAAGTCTGCCTTCACAAAATTCCTTTTTTACTTGAAATAGAGAGTTCAAAAGTGAAAAAAAAATCAAACAACTGGTATTTAATAGGCTGGTAAACCTTTGGAATTAGTTTTAAAAATTTTCAACTTGAAGTTGGGTGTGGACCAAATTTTAAGCAGTTGCCGATTACATGCAGTTTAGTGCTATAACTTAAGCTCTTGGCAGCAAAGAGATTTGTTTCATTTGGTATCTGTAAAGTCCTATTTAAGTCTGCATTATAGCTTGTATATTTATAAATGTGTTTCCTTCTGTCTTTCTGATTTTTCCTTTATATTTTCAGTATACTGAGTATTTGATTATTGTCCTGTTTTTCAGCTGGATGCTTCAGCATGTAGCATTTCTCTTCACTGTTTTAAATAACAAATATCTGATTGGTATTTAAGTAATGGTATTAGTAAAGGAACAATAAATGCTTTGTGGGTAGGGAATGGATTTTCTTTTCTACTATTGCTGTATATTGGCCTTCTTACATCTTGTATCTTTTAGATGTATTAGGTCTATCACTCCTACAATTCCCATTGACAATTCCCAAAGGCTATGCTTTCTGGGAATTCTTGGGATTGATCCCAAAATATCTGTAGAACATCAGATTGGGAGGTTGCTGTAAATATTAAAAGCACTGATGCATTTTGAAATAATGCTGAGCAAGGGGAAGATACTCTATTGTTTGGGTTAGGGATTTTTCTTCCCGTAAATTCCTCTTTTCAGCTGTCATTTTAATTCTGCATATTGGGTATTAAATAGATCAAGGTTCTCCTAATTCTTATGTATATTTAAAACATAACAATACATTTGCAACTTAAAACTATCTAGCCACTGCAACCTTTACATTTATTAAAAAAAAAGAAACAAAAATGGTCTTTGTGATATCTGTATGTAGATGATGCAGAAAACTATTTAATTTTTAGTCTTTACAAAATTTCTAGTTAGTTTTTTTCTGTAATTGTGCAAATTACCTGATAGAATCTATTATTCCAATGGCTTAGATTTTTTAATCTTGAGAATCTCAAACTACAAGATGATGCAAAATGTTTTGTTTTCAAGCAAAAAGTAATATACCAAATGCAAACTCTTAATTACAAGTGAAAAGACAGACCATGAAATGCTTAATTGGAAGTAGACTTAAGGATAAAGATGTAGTGGGTTTAAAAAAAAGTGTGAATTTTTATTTTGAATTAGAAAGCACTGGAATGTTGAGCCTATATAAAGTGGCTTGAAGTGTAGGGAGGGAATAGGTAACCCCCAAGTGATGCTTCTTCCAAATTTTTGCATGTAAAAAAACTTTTTTTTCTTTTCTTTTGGGTTGTGAATGGAGCTGGGGCATTGATATTTGTGAAATTGTAATGCAAAGTTTGTATATAGTTCAAAAGTTTATAATTTTTTATTCTGCATTTTGAAGTGTATTTTGTCTTTAATAGATACAACTGTAAGTACTGTGTACACTATTAAACCAATAAAATGTTTATAAAATATGTTGATTACTTTCATTGCACTCACACTTTTATCTGGAATGACAGAGATACTCAACAGTTCTAAACAGCTAGAAGTACCCTTTAAAAGTTTGACTTTGGAGAAACATTTTCTCAGCAGCAGGTTATAAAAGCTATGCATTTTCGCTACATTTAAGTTTGATGCAAATTGATGTGTCCAGTAGTTACCTTCTTACCTGATTAAAGAACTGTCTTGCATTTTACTAGAACTCTGCTGATTCCGTCCTTTGTTCCATAAACTTTCTATACTAAAATTTAAACTACAATTTGCTTTGGCTTTAAAGATAGCTTACAATTCCCCCCTCCACCCCCATTTTGAATTGAATTCATGGAAATTTGCATACATTAATCTGGAATCATCATTCTTGGGACATTTCTTAATCTTAATCACAGTTACAATTAAGATGATAACATCTGAGTGCTTAATAGTTTATGGAACACTTTTACATAGAAAAATGGCAAATTAGAACATTTTATACTGTACAGTATTCCAGAAATGTATTACATAGTTATTAGATAATTAAGTAGATATTAAGTAACAAAATGGCCAGGTTGTCTGGGCCTCTGCCACTTCTGTTGATCTGCAATATCTACTTAGAACAAAAGCTTCTCTTTTTAAAGCACAATTACGGTATATCAAAATTTATATTTTTGAGGAATTGTTAATACTGTAGTTCATCTATTAATATAGTTTCTGCTACTTTCAGCAACCCATTATTACAGAACTTGTATTTATTTACGTCTCTAACTGCTTGAAAAATGCTACAATTATGCGGGTATAAGGATTTTATAAACTTTTGCAACCTAGCCTAATGTATCTCAAAAACTAAGATACCGTATTTTCCGGTGTATAAGACGACTTTCTAAACTCTGAAAATCTTCTCAAAAGTCAGGGGTCGTCTTATACGCAGGAATATACGGGTAGCTGTTCTCTGAATTTAAAACCAATCTGCCCCCTAGTGGCCAGCCCTATTTTTTTTTTTTACAGAACTAAGCACTAACAGGACAAAGCTTTCTAGCAGCAAAGGAGCTCCTATTGTGCTCATCTATAAACAGAAATTCAATATTGTACTGTATTTTCTGGCATATAAGATGACTTTCTAAACCCTGAAAATCCTCTCAAAAGTTGGGGGTCGTCTTATACGCCCAGTCGCCTTATACGCTGGAATATACGGTAATGCTTTTTTTTTAAAAAATGTAAAAGTATTGTTGGATTTCAGCATTTTAAAAGGTTTGGTTTAAAAGTGAAGGATTTGCTCATGGTTCAGCTTGGCATTCAGTATCTAACAAGTCATAGCAATGTCATAATGATGCACATATGTTACGATGCAAATGGTGGTTATGATGTACATGTTATTTGCTCCCTTGCCTCCCCAAATGCTGATAATGCCACTCAAATCTAGCATTTTTTTTTAAATAATACCATTTAAAAATGTGGCTCGTCTCCAACTTTTACTAAGATTATGAACCAGCAGTAGATATGCTATAAATCGCTATAAATAAAATTAATGTTAGTGACATCAGTTCAAATATAATGGAAGGCAATGTTCTTTTATCAATACTGAGATAAGATTCAACTGGCAGTTCATGTCAACATCCAACACCTGCTGTGCCATAAAGTGCTTCAAATAAAATGAAATAAAAGTGCCTCAAATAAAATGAAATTTTATTTTCTCTCATGCTTTTGGTGGATAATCAGAATGTACTTTCACTTAAAATTTGTATCAGAGATTTCAACCCATTCTAAGCCTAGTACCAAACAATTGTCTCTGTATATGAGCAGTATGATTCCACATCAAGGGAGATCTAAATTAAGTCTGCACAATGTATGGCCCATGGGCTGCAAATGTCCTGCACAGCAGCCCAGCTTAAAAAAAAAAAAAACCTTAAATTTATCAGTTTATTCCCAGCTGCTGCCAGGTGGGGGAGGAAACGAGGGAGTACGTGCAGAAATGCAGGTCAGAAATGTGGCCCAGAGATGTCATGAAAGTTGGAGAGAGCAGATAGGTGAGTAGCATAGGTCGGGAAGGGTGCTGGGGGAGGTGTGAAAGGTCCTCTGTGCATCATGTCAGCTACATGGAGGAAAAATATGTCAAGGTGGGTGCATGAAGGTAAGAGTGTGCGAGAGGGATACTGTGCCAGTTGGGGATGGCCTGTGGGAGAAGTGCTTGAGAGTGAGCAAGAGATTCTGTGCAACTCAGACTGCATGGGGACAGCACAGGTTGTGAAATACACGCAGGTACCCAAGAGGTACCATATGGTCGGGAGTGAGTTGGGGTGGGTGCTATAGGGTGAGGGAAGGCATGTGGAGGGTAGTATGGATCAGAAAGGGTCGTGGAGGTGCCCAAGAGGTGCTGCATGGGTCAGGGAAGGTGCAAGAGGGAGTGGGTTGGGGTGGGTGTGTAGGGGTATGTAAAAGGCGCTGCTGACTGAGGGAAGACATTTGGGGGACAGCGTGGATTGAGAAGGCACACAGTCATGGAAGATGCATGGGGTGTGCAACGGGTGCTGCATGGGTTAGGGAAGGCAAGTGGAGAGGGGCACAGAGGATTTCTTTTCTTCCTTCCCCCTTCTCTTCCCAGAGGCAGGTAAGTGGCTGCTGGTGGGGAAGGGAGTGAGGGATTGCAAGACTGGCTGGGAAATTGTCAAGGAATTATGACTGTGCCAATCACCCAACAGCATAGCATATACCGTATTTTCCGGCGTATAAGACGACTTTCTAAACCCTGAAAATCTTCTCAAAAGTCGGGGGTCATCTTATATGCCGGAATATACAGGTAGCTGTTCTCTGAATTTAAAACCAATCTGCCCCCTAGTGGCCAGCCCTATTTTTTTTTTTACAGAAATAAGCACTAACAGGACAAAGCATACATTTTTCTACATCGCCCATCACTTTATTCTTTTTCAGGAAAAGCAATTAAATAGTAGAAAACAGTAAGCTATATAAATTAAGGACATTACATCTACAAAAAAAAAGAAACATTTGATTTACTTCTTATACCTATAGCAGCAGTCATGAATATATGGAAAAACTTTTTGATTCAGCAAATCTCACTGATTAAGAAAGATACTGGTCAAAGGAAAAAGATCAAAGTGAAAATTAAGAAAATAGATTATGGGATCTACCAGAGAGAATATTTAAAAAAGAAACATTTGTTTGAAATTGAATATTGAAAAATACCAGCTGAGTTCAGGAAGCATTAGGGAAGCAGTGGTGGGCAACACTCGCTTTCTAGCAGCAAAGGAATGGAGCTCCTATTGTGCTCATCTATAAACAAATTCAATATTGTACCGTATTTTCTGGCGTATAAGACGACTTTCTAAACCCTGAAAATCTTCTCAAAAGTTGGGGGTTGTCTTATACGCCCAGTCGCCTTATACGCCAGAATATACGGTAAATAAAAATATTTTACTGCAGATTCCATTCTAATAAAACATAAAACAAAATAGAAACTACATAGTACAAGATAAAAACTATTAAATATAATTAATTACTTTTATTTTTATCTATAAAAGTACTTAGCAATTCAGTGAGATTATAAAACAGCCTACATTATCTGTAAGAAAACTGGGCAAGCTTTTACCCTGTGGAAAGCAGTACCAAATGATAACTTGTTATAAGCGATGAATTCATTTACCTTGTTTCAGTGACCTTGAGAGGACTGCCTGAGAAATGAGATGCTAACACTTTCCAAATCAAGTTTACTCCTTTACAAATCAAGTTTTTCGCTGCAGGTTTTCCTTCCCTTTACTAGCAAGGGTACAAACCGAAATGAAAAACCAGCAATCAGGAAATGGTTGCTGGAAGAATCAAGTAAAACTTACTGGACACAATTAACACTTAGGTTTGTAAGTTTCAGGTCATTTTAATTCTAAGGAAAAAATTATTTCTATTTTTAAAAGTAAGCAGAGTCAAATTAATCCCATAGCTGACTTGGATAGCGATTAAATATTGCCAAGCAAGTCTTTAGCTGGATTTACATAAGCCAAGATTTATTTTAATATACCAGTAATTGTTGAAGCACACAGTGGCTTCATTCACTCATGCTTTTGGTGCATAATCAGAATGCCTTTATTTTCACTCGTAGTAGACTCTTATATACCCATGTCATGCCCTACATCTAAGAGATTACAGCCAGACTAATTGTTGAAGCAGACACAGTGACTTCATTCACAATACAAATAGTTCACCACTAATTCAGCAATAGATTAAAAGTACGACAACACCAAATGAGGAGGACTTACAACTAGTCCACAAAGTTTCAACTGTGGCAATATGAGGTGCTAATACCACTTTATATTGTGAGACAGTGCATCTAGTTTTGGTCACCACTGTGCAAAAAAGATGCCAGACTCTAGAAAGAGTGCAAAGAGCAACAAAAATAATTAGGGGACTGAAGGTTAAAACATAAAATGAATGGTTGAGAGAATTTGGAATATCTAGTCTAATGAAGAGTAGGGTTAGGACATGATAGCAGTCTTTCAATATTCAAGGAGCTGTCACAGAGACGAGGGGGTCAACCTATTCTGCAAAGCACCTGAATGCAAGACAAGAAGTAACAGATAAAAGGTTTAACAAAGAGCGATCCAATCTAGCATTAAGGAGAATTTCCCTGTCAGTGAGAACAATAAATCACTGGAACAGCTTGCTTCAGAGGTTGTGGGTGCTCCATGAGTGGAGGTTTTTAAGAAAAGAGTAGACAGCCATTTGTCCAGAATGGTATACTTCTCCTGCTTGAGCAGGCGGTTGGAGCAGAAGGTCCTTTCCAACTCTGTTATTCTGAAAGTATTCTGTAACAACGATCATTGCAAATATATGAGACACTTTGTTTTTCCCAGATGAAAAACTGCTTAATTTCCCATGAAATATTTTTATAGAGGTGGGAGGGTATCTTTGAGAATAGCTAAGAAATTCTACAGCAACATGATTGACAGAGGAACTAGAACTGATTTGCAGATTCCGTTTTTAAACTTTTTGTTTTGTACAAGTGCTTCTGTTATGTTTGACAGCAGAAGTCCAATGGATTACTTCTTTGCAATTTCATTTACAGAATGCACAATTCCCCAAGGCCCTTTTTGTTTTCTGTCTTCATAGAGACGGCAAATATTTTCCTACTGATTAATACAAGTTCTTGATGCCACTATGACATGGCAAATGTCTACAGTGAGATTTCTGGTAAAAATTTTGAGTCCTCTTCTTTCTGCTCTTCATTGTTCAGCTACTCCAATTTACTGGCTGTGTACTGTTTTATTTCTCCAGGAACTTTTAGGAATCTGGAATTAAGCATTTAAAAAAATCAACTTTTTTTTTTCCTGATGATCCAATACCCATTCTATCTCTCCCCACTCCTTTCAGCAATACACACAGAGTACACACAAAAGCAAATGATCCAGGGATAAAAAGGAATCGTTCTGTATCTTTTAAAATAGTTAATTCCTCAAATCAAACAGTGTTGCACTGGATATGATAATATCCCTGCTTTGTTATATGAAAAGATGCTTTAAAATGAAAAATGTGCTTCTAATCTTATTCATATAGAACTTCAAAACACATTAGTCAAGCATTAAAATGCAATTGTAATTCATTTTGTTGATAGGGGATTATGCTCCAGAATTTCCAAGATTCAAAGAATAAAGTTGTAATGAAGGAGGAAAAAAGCATCCCAAGAAGTACATAAAAGTCATTGCACTTAAACCAATCAAGATTTAATTATGAAATTTATATAGCCACCCATCTCTCCTGGTGATCCTAGGCAGCTCATGGCAACCAGGAAAAATATCAACATAAAAACATATCACACCTTTCCTATCAAGATAACAGATATTGTTAATCCTCTGACTCAACCTCATGGGCAAAAATCAGCAAGGTCTGGAAAACATGAACTCTCAGCAACCAAGCAGGGGCAGGAATGTTCTCTCCACCAGAACAGTTTTAGAAATAAGATGGGGGAATTCCGTTTTCTTCTTTGTTCTTTTGCTTTACAAAGAGGCATCTCTTCAGACTGGCTTCTTATCAAGAAAGGAAAAGCACCTCAACCCAGAGAAGGGTTGGAGAATCAAAAGAAAATAGCCATCTTTTGAAATGTGGAGCTAGATACAGTTTAGAATTTTTTCTAACATTTATTTTATGGGCTGATTTATGCTGTGCTTTTTGTTGTGCTCTCTTTTGGATGGGTGGCTGTTCCCGAAAGATTCCTCTTGAGTTAAAGCAGTGTTTCCCAAACTTGACAATTTTAAGGCATGTGGACTTCAACTCCCAGAATTCCACAGCCAGCGTTGCTGGCTGTGGAATTCTGAGAGTTGAAGTCCTCATGCCTTAAAATTGTCAAGTTTGGGAAACACTGAGTTAAAGCATCCAGGAATTACCCTTTCTTTTTACCCTTTTCCCACTGTTTTTAATTCTGAATAAGTTTCATAAGCTTAATCTATATAATAAAAGACTTGTATCATCTTCTTGGTTCTGGTTATCAGTAGGGTCATTCAAACAGGAAACTTAGCCTTTCACACATCTCAACCATTGATAGAACAAACGATTTGAGAGAAGAATTTTTACTCTGTTCCTCCTAAATAAAGTTGCAGAGAGCATCTCCTAAACAAGGAGGGTGAGAGGGGAATGTGCAGGGAAGGCTCAGGGATACATCTTGACCTCACCTGAATAACAATTTCTGTCCAGTTTCCTTTTTGATGATGTTGAGTTTATAATAATGCCTCAAAGCTCTTGACATCTTCTCATATGTCATATTCCTTCGGTTCTGAAAATTGTTTAAAAATTGTGATTTTTGCTTTATCTTGCCTAATTACTAATTTGAAATAGAAAAGAGTTGTAAGAAACTGCATGCAGGCATAGCCTCTTTCAGTGGAGGTAGGATGCAAATTACGTAACCAAACATAAATATCTTGTTTTACCTACTGGCTTTATGAATTTATTTGGAATTAAAAGAATTAAAAGGGAACCACTCTGGTACAATTATAAGATAGCAAACTAAGACCTAGGAAATCCAGATTTAAGTCCCCATTCACTCTCTAGCTGATTCAGTTGTAATATTTCAAGGTATCGTGCCAAATTGTTCTGATTACAGGAATGCTAGTGCATGCTACCTTGAATTTTTACAGGAAAGTCAAGGCAGACATATAATAAATACATGCAAATACTCCTTTGTCCCAGACTGTATCAAATCATCTTGTGTGCTCTCCTTTAATCTGTCCTTCTAAATGTTTTAGAAGCTCAACATCTCAAGATGGAGATTATACTTTAATGCAGCGGTTCTCAACCTATGGGTCGCGACCCCATTTGGGGTTGATCGACCATTTTTCGGGGGTCGCCAAAGGCGGCAATCCGCCATTTTCTCCCCCAGGGGGCGGCGCCGCGCATGCGCATAACGTTTGTGTGACGGGGGTCGCCGTCACACAAACGTTGAGAACCACTGCTTTAATGTTACAGAGCCAGGCTGGGAAAGGCTGGACCGACTACTGTTGGAGTATTCCAACTGGCCATAGTTCATTATGAAGTCAGGTTAAGAATATTCCCAGCTCTACTTTTAGCAAGACTGACCAAGGTTATGGCAAATGAGGAGGCGCATTTACCCACCCTTTGAGAATATAACTTTGTTAAATTATCTCAAAAGAACATTGGGGGATTATAGGGGATGTACAAATTGGTGCCCTCCAGGTAGGCTGAGAGTGCTACTCCTAATAAGCACATCTGAACAGAAATGTATCTCTACTTATGGAATTTAGGAGGATTGCTTTATTTAGTACCTTTTGATTACCCCAGAGTCCAGCAAGGCCATTGGGATCTACAACCCGAAAGATCTTGGTTTCTTTGTCTTCCCACTTGATAAATGATTCATACTGGCTGTCAGAGAGGAGCTGGTAGATGTAATCCAAAAGTAACCTACAGTCTAAGAATTAGTTACATTGAGAGAGATGTTGTTCAAGTCAGAATAACAAAATAACTCCTACACCACTGCATTACTGTTAAAGACAACTGTAGGGTGTATTTGCAAGTGACCATAGCTGAGCAATGAAAAAAGTTGGAGTCACATGCTTTCAATTCTCTGCTGTTAACCAGTGGGGGGTGGGGGGGTGGAGCAAATGCTCTTGATGTGCAAAAACAGGTAAGCATTCCTGACAACCACATAGCAAAAGAGTAACAGATCTTGATAACCTTACCCTTACCTGCTATTTTACCATTGACTGAAGCAGCAGATTTTACAGGGAAAGAGCAAATATTTCCACCATGGCTGATCTCTGGGTTGCTATAAGCGAGAGGTTTCACCCCAGAAGTAGAGATTGTCTTGGTGGCAAATTGAGATGAGTCCAAATAGCCTGCATGACTAGTGAAGATTGTTGGATAGTCTGAAGGCAATGCAGGGATCTTAGCTGGGAAATTGTCTAAGTTGCACTTGGTACCTGTGAGAAGAGACCAGATTCAAAACAGAGCTTTTTACATTTTCTAAGCCAGCCCTCTTCACTCTGGAACTCACTAAAAACATCAGGTTGGGAAAGACAGATCTACCTCTAATCAACTGGAAATTGATGTAACAGAAGGTACTGCAATTAGATACATTAGCTGTGGTTGTTTTGCTATGAACATACTCATCTCTGAAGTCTGTTTGGTTATATATATATTTCTTTTCACATAAAGAAAACTCTTACCAGATTTGCCTCAGGCTATCCATGCCTAGACCCATTCTTGGACATTTTACAAATGTTTATGATAGAGATCCATACAAATTCATTATTCATTTACCTAAATGAGTAGGTAGGCTGACAGGCAGCAGAGATGGACAGATTCAACTGACTGCTCAGAATACTGGTTTGCTTAAGCCAATGCCATCTGAACTGATGTATCAGTAGAAAAGACTGTGGCTCTGCCATAAAGACCACTTAGTTTATTTTCATCTCAACTCTCCACTTTTTTTTTTTTTTGTCTTTTGAGTCATATCTTTAAATTAGAAAGTTGTGTGAAGGTATGTTTTGCCTACAGAACTATAGTTTCAATTGACTTCCCATAAACTGCTCTAGTGGTGTTGGAGAAAACTCCTGAGAATACCACAGATAAAGAATATAAACAAGTGGCTCAACAAATAAATCAATTCAGAGTTCCCACCTGAGGCACAACCAGGCTCAGATAATCATATTTTGAATACATTATGCAAAGTATCAGTTCCCTTATGAAATTTCTAATGTTGGAAAGGGTAGAAGAAAATAAATGAAGAGATGACCAGAAGCAAATTGGACAGACTCAATTTCAGTAGCAATGGGTACACTAAGGACCAGTTTGGGGACAATATATATGGTCACTAAGGGTCAACACAAACTTGATGGCACCTAATCAATTGAACCTGTTCTGTCAGCATGGTAACTAATAAGCTGATGAGCATTAACAATGCAAGATCTCAGGAAGAGGTAATTCCTAATTTAGGAAATGAGGTGCTTAAGATTGTATATGGAACCATCTGGAGAGATCAGTATGGATTTTGCCTATGTATCCTCCTGTACAGATACTGGCTCAAAATATGAGCCAAAGATTATCTAGCATGATGCATATAACCACTGTTCCATAACACTCACCTTCTGCAGTGTTCTCGGTCAGGTTATGGTCTGTATCCCAAAAGGGAGTGTTAAAGAGAGGGCTACACACAAGGGCTCTTCTCTGGGTCTTTATGTATTGGAGTAATTCATATAATACATCTCCTGTGAGATTAAAAAAAACCCCATAAATACCAATCCAACTTCATTTGTATCAATACCAACCGGTGACAAAAACAAAGCAATTTTGGAGCACCTCCACCCCTCCATTTGTTGTTTATTTCAAAAGGACTATTTCAACTTGGGGAACTTTTGCAAAGCAGAAATATAATTTCAATGCATACATTTGTGGGAATCTGAAATTTTCTGTTAAAACTTGCAATGCATTCAACACATTCAGTTTGAATTAATTTATTACCTCCTACCCTAAGGAAGCACATTTTTGAAAAATGTATTAATATAAAGATGATCAAACAGCTACTAGAGTAGCCTGGTTCTTTCCATCAGACATCTATCACATTGTAAAGCTGCTCGATCCATAGGGCTTTGGTTTCTACCAATAAGTCCTTGTCAAGAAAAGCCAATTTGGAAGGCAAATCTATTTCAAAGGACATTAGAGACTTCATTCATCTCATAGTCTTTGAGTTATTCCTCATTTATACTTGCTATATGGGATAATTTTGAGATAAGAATGCAAACACACAAAGCCTTGACCAAGGAGGGCAGCATGTCTAACCTGAATTAGGAGCCCGAAATTTGAAATCTTCCTTGGTTAGAATACAAAGGGCTTTTCCATTCATTTCAAAGTTACTATCGACGGATTTCCTGAGTGAATATTCTTTTTCAGCCCATCTTAGCCAGTGAATCACATCATCTTTGCTCCATAGAAAGGGTTGGATCCCTGAAATCAAATCAGGTTGCAGATAAATTAACATACTTACCCAGTCAGTTTTTGGCCCTTCTTTTGGAAAGAGCATAAAATGTCTCAAAAAGTAAGTAAAGGACATCTCAGCAATTATTATTAGAACTCATTCCCTCCCACTAATATCACTCCCCATAAGTTGTAAAGATAGATCAATACATTTTCAAAAGATTTTTTCTAAAAAAAAGTCTCTGTGATAGGAAGCAACTTTACACCAAGTCCGACTAACTGATCATCTACTCCTTATTTCCTCAACCAGATGTCTTCAAGATGTATCAGCCTAGAATCCCACCAACTGCAGGCAATTATTTATCTGATCTGATAGACTCCAATTTATGATGTGCTGGACTATAACTATAGCTGGGAAATACTGGAACTGTAGTCGAAACACAACTAATTTGTATAGTGTGTCTTTACATTAGGGACAGATAACACTTTCTAAGCCAAGATTGCTTAACCACAAATGGTAGTGGAACTGCACTCCAAAAAGTAGGAGAACCGCGCCAAAATTTAAGTTAGATTTAATTTAAATGTAATCAAAATCAAAATAAATAAACTTATTTAATACAGATAAGAAGAAAAAATATATGTAATCCTTCTGTTTAGTGTCATATTAAAAGTACAACTTGGTGGCCCTGCTTGGAGAATCCTGTAGAGCACATATCCAAGGCTTTAAGGAACCACCTTTGAAAAGCTGCCTTAAATAATACTTCTTCTACTCACTCAGTCGGCCTGGCAATGTGCAGATTTGTCCATCATAGAGCGACTTTATTGATGTCTTCGAAGTGGGGTGCAATGGTAAGGGCAAAGCTGATGTGGCCACAGGGGTCAAAGAGCCAGCTGCCACTTCAACCTTAAGGGAGGAGAAAGATATTGAAGCTGTATAGATTCCCTACAAGAAATCAGCTGTATTTCCACAGTGCCTCTTCTGGTACTTTGCACTGCCTAGAAGTAGGATAAATGAGAATCTATGAAGGAAAACCGTTTCAGCAGAAATTCTGCTATATAGTCAGGAGAGAGATCCAGGTCAAAAATCTTTGTGGGATGACAATTGCTTTCAAAGCTAAACTATACCCCAGAATCGCTAGGCAGATAAAATGGATCAATTACACAGAGAAAGGATGGGATAAAGGTTGTAGACATATAAAAGGGTAGAAGCATTAAGTAATCAAACAAAAGTTGCTAGAACCATTTTTGAAGACTGTGGACTGGTGAAACTCTGTTTATCAAAGAGAGATATGCAATTGAAGTGACAACAATGGCAAGCAAGAGAAGGGAAAGAAACAGAGAGATTTGCTGAACAAACTGGCTGGTGAAAAAGACTATTGTACACTTTTGGAAAACAGAGCAGATTGGTAAATGTGTTTTGAATCCAAGAAGTCCAAAAAAGAGTCTATCTTCCCTCAGATAGAAGGAAGTCTAAAAGGGAAACTACAGAAAGGAACAGCAGAAGACTGAGAAACAGATAAGACACTATAAAAAGCTTTGTTTGAAATCATCTACTCTATATTAATTATGAATATTAATTTTTTTGGCCTCACTCTGCAGACACTCCTGAAATCTTGAAAGAAAGTAGCTGCAGATTATTAAAACTCACAAATCAAGAAATACCTAAGTTTAGATACTCTACCTAAGAGTAGAGTTCACCAAATATTTGATGAAGTAAACTCTAATTCATAAATGTAGATGCCATAATAAACAAATTACTCTTCACAAGAACTATTGTTGATTTTGCAGCCGCAATTGCTTTACCATTGGATAAATATCTTATGCAGATTTACTTTTAAAAAGTTTCAGATTCATTCTTAAACACCAGGCAATAAAGAAAATGAAAGTGAAAGATGCCTACATGTTTTCATTTCAGTTTTGTTCTGGTAGCTTGTTTAAAAAAAATAATTATAATGGTATAGAGTATAAGGGTGTCAATTTTTACTCGTTTGATATTTTATATATCTATATTTATACGTGTGGTACTTATAATTTGACTGTAAATTGCTCTGTCCTGCCAAGCAGTACATTAATTCATGCATATAAATAAGTAAATGATGTCCAAAGATCTTTGTTTTAAAATAAGTAAATGATTTCCAAAGATCTTTGTTTTAAAAGAAAGAGTAGCATACCATCTCAATGTACACAACAATAATGCCTGGTTTAAACAAATGTTCCCACAGATGGTGTTATCCTCCTCTGTAGAGAAATATACTTTGATAAGGCTTGTACAACTTCTCATACAGGAATGCATAACCCACATGGTCTACGCCAGCATTTTTCAGACATGGCAACTTTAAGATGTGTGGAGTTCAACTCAACTTGCTGGCTGGGGAATTGTAGGAGTTGACCTCTACATATCTTAAAGTTGCCAAGTGTGAAAAAAAAAAACCTGGTTTAAAGTAGAGGGCTAATTGGGAAAGAAAGGGAATAAAGAGAGGGTACAAAGTTCCCCTCCACCCCTGATCTGAAGTAAATTTTCCCAATCAGGCACTATCATTTGTATTAAAGTGCATTACCCATAATTCCCAACAATGGCATGTTATGAATCCCATCAGTTAAGGAATGCTGGCTTGCAGGGACTATGAAGCATGCCTTCTGCCATAGTTCCTGCCCTCTGGATCATTCTTTTTTCAGACCTGAGGATGATCCAGACCCTATTGTCCTTTAGAAAAGACTTGGAAGACTTATTTGAGATGGGCAGCTATGGGAATTGATTGATTTGATTGACTAAATGAATAAATAAACATGCCCTAAAGCAATGTTGATTGGGAATCAATGCAGCACCCCAGGTTGAGGAAAGCTGGTTGAAAATGTACTTTTAAAATAGTTCCCTTCCATTTTGTATCCCAGAATTTAAAACAGAGGGAAAGATACAATCCAGATTTTAAAAAAGTGTTTAAGCTTTGCTTGCGTGAATCAAGCATTAGAACAAGGGATACACTATTTTCCTATTTGAAACAGCTTCACGAACTCACATCTGAATTATTTTTGCCCAACAAAACACTGTTTCTCACAGAAAACAATTAGCTGCTTAATGTCTCCTTTTTCTTGTGAAAAGTCTGGGGAATTCCAGACTTTGTCCATGTTGAAACGCTTTTATTTTGAACCACCAGAGAAATGATTTCAGTGGGGATTCAGCCTAGTCAAGAGAACCCCAATGCTTTCTGAAGCGGGGGAAGCACCCTTGCCAAGACGCCTCAGTTTATGCATCCCGTGTTTCCAGCCCGTAGGAAGGAGAGCAATATAAGAATCGGGGAAGCCGCCTGGCGAAAACGCAGAAGCAACTGTCCTGGTCGGACCTTGGGATGGCTGAGCATTAGGCGAGAACACATGGGGGAAATCTACGGCACTGGGCCAAGGCAGGGAAAGCCCGGGAAGATCGAGGGGTCGGAGCGCCTGCTGCTCTCCCCAAGTTCTTACCTGCATTACAAGGGGAAGCGAGAGGGGAAACGGCAGAGCCGGGATCGTCCGGGTGCGCGCAGAATCCTAGCCAACTCCCCACCAGCCTCCCTTCAGTTCAGGCGGTGCTAGTTGTCCTTCCGGAAAACGAAAACGAAAGGCGCCGCTCCGAAAGCTGCTGGAGTTTGGCCGCGAGTCTTTCTCGCCCCTGTAGCTGCCTTATTCCGCCCCTTGGCAAACCGCCCGCGGGACTGGTGGCGCTCCCAAAGACCCGCGCTGCACTCTCACGATGTCTTTGCCCCTCGCCCGACGCTGCTCGGACCGCAAAGCTCCCCAGACGGGTTGGGTGGATCCGTTGTGCCTGCTAGATAGACCCAGATTGGAATTTCGCACCCGAAAACTAGGGCCATTTGCCCCGAGGCAGGAAAGCCGAAACGAAACCTTGCGGGAGGAAAGGGCGCTTTCTGAGGGAAGCCTGATCTCCGCAGCTTAGCTCACCTCCCATCAATGTTGGCTTATGGTGCGGCGTCAAACCAGGCCGGCGTGCTTATATTTGTTACATTTAATTCCAATATCAACTGGTGCCTCTCGACGAAGTGTGGCTGCAGGTGCACTTTAGGTTCAGAGTCATACATGCAAAATGATTAATTTAAATAGCTTGTACACAAATCATGCATCACAGTTCAATATAATACCGAAATGTATTATAAATAGAAGGGAAAGTGGTGTTTTACTTTCTCCTGGAAACTATGTAAACAAAATTCTGAGATAGCCAAGTCAGAGCCGAAGGCCTGCACAACTTTTTCTGGCTGAGGGTGTGTCAAATCTTTTTCACCTATTAAAAAGTAATGAAGCTAGGACAAAAGAGGATGAAGCCAGGACAAAACTAAACCTAGTTAAACTCACTGTAATTAATCTTTAAATTTCCAAAGTGGTTTCTGACCCATTTTAAAATGTGAAATGGCTGGCAACTTTTGGGGATCAACTGTCACTTCAAGTGATACTTGTTAGGGGGCAATTCTCCTGATACATTAAGGCAATCATGTTCATACACAAGCATAGAATCCTTGAGTTACTTCTGATCTATGCTACTAGTAGAGATTGTCCCGATAGTTAAATGTGATAAGTTTTGAACTACCAATTTGCTTTTTCTTGCTGTAAACTGTCTGGCAGCCTTGGGTGATATACAGATTCATGTAATAAATAAATAACCAACCCACACACTACTTGAATGAAAGGGTAAGGTTCCAGGAACTTTGTTGCCCAAATCTCATTATTAATCTCAGCCTAGATCAGTCAATACTGATTAGTTTTCTGGGCATCAGCGAATGTAGGAAATCAAGTGACTGCCTATTAGCACCAGTTTACAATACATTGAGAACACACCATTATTGAATTGTAAAATTACCAGATCTAGAAGGCTAAAATCTGGATGATCTCTAGATGCAGCAAAGGGTTAACATTGTCTGAATATCTTTAATATCTTTTCTGCCTTCTAGTGAGTATCCAGATTTTTGTAGCTGGGGTCTGGTGACCTTCATAAAAGTTAATTGTACTGATATGAATGTGGTCACGCTTGCTGATGGTCTTTGGCAGAGCTGGTATGGGATGGTGCATCTATCCTTATGCTCCATTTCTTAGTGACTTTTGATGCCATCAATCTCAGTATCCTTCTGGACCAGCTGTAGGGACTAAGAGTGGAGGATGCCATATTAATGGTTCCCCTCCTTTTATGGTCTGTTTCAATTGCTGCCAATGTTAGGAGAATGGTCAAATCCACATGCAATCTTTGTGGCATGATGTGATGGTGAACCTTTTAGAGACCGAATGCCCCAAAACCACCATCCCCAGTCCTGTCCCCACTCCGCCGTGCCCGCTGGACCATCCACCACCTCCACAGCCCACCACAGATCACCCAGGCAGCCCAGCAGCTCCATGGTGGCCACGCCCTCCTCCCACGCCCTGCAGCATCATCATGATGGGGGGCAAGGGTGGAGTCTTGTCCCCACTGCCCGGCTACCATGTCCTTGGCTGTACAGCATTGCGTGGGCCGTGCTCGGGGGCGACTCTCCTCCGGAGGGCTCCTGTTGAGGGGGCCGTGGGAGGAGGCGGGGCTAGGGTGGTGGTGCGTGTGCCCACAGAGAGGGCTCCGAGTGCCACCTCTGGCACATGTGCCATAGGTTCACCACCACTGATGTAGGGGCTTGATTCTTTCCCCCTCCTCTTCAACATCTACGTGAAACTACTGCTTGAGTTCATGCATTGATTTGGGGTTTGCTATCATCAGTATACTATTCCATTGTGCATCTTGATCTTGGACCATCCTTGATTTTCTGTCAATGTTCTGTCCCAATGTCTAGAGGCTGTGAAGATTTGATCCTGGAAAGCTTCCATTTCTAGTCTTGGATAAGGCAGCATTATTCTTTGAGATGAATGGGCAATCTGGGGGTTGCTCTGGATTCAAACTCCTGCTTGAGGAGGATATAGCAGCTATTGCCAAGAGAGTCTTCACATAGACCAGGGGTGTCAAACTGCCGGCCCACAGGCCGGATGCGTCACGACAAAACCACACCCACCCCATTGCCGGCAATGGGGAAAAAGCTCCGATACATTGCGCAACGTCATATGATGTCGCGAGTTTGACATATCTGACATAGACCCATCTAATATGCTTATTGTGCCTGTTCCTGGTTTGGGAGGCCCTCCAGATGGTCATTCATGCCCTAACCACTTCATGAATGAAGTGTTGGGTTCTGTAAGGGTTTGCCTTTGAGAATTTTTGAACTAGAATGTGGCAGCATAGGCAGTAATTAGCATGCCACGGTTTTGGGGAACATAAAACTGTGTGTTTCCATTGTTTTCTATGGTTGAAATGTTTTGGATTTATAGAATTGCTTTAAGTTCTGTCAATATATACTTCAGACTTTTTGATGAGATATTTTGGGTGAAATTTTTTTTTCCAAGCTCAAAACAGCAATTCGCATTTCATGTTTGATCATTTTAAACAAACAAACAAACAAATGGGAAGCCGGCTCATAGCAAAGCAGAGCATTAGCCTCAACCACCAGCTTGATTTCCACAAAGGCCAGTAGATTCTACATGCAGCCCAGTTCTCAGAAACAGAAGATAAATATTGCAGGTGACTGAAGTTCAGGTTTTCTTTGGAAAATAAAAATTGATTGAGCTAATAGAGAACATCCTGGGAGGAAGAATGGGTAGCAGGAAGTAATTTCACCAGCTTGTGACCAACCACTGGTGTTCATGCTTATTGCTGGAAATTACTGAGGGGAATTTCCAGATATCCAGCACATTCTCAGTCATTCTCTCTATCCAGATCAGAGCAAGCACAGAAGCCATTCAGTTTGGATAGCAAACCATCTAGCTTGATCTTTATTTATTAAACGCCAGCAAACACTCTGTCAAACAGAGTTAACTGGCGAATCCAGGATAAAAAGCAAGAAAAATAGACAGCAAGAACAACAAACCACAGGCAACAATTTACATTACGGTATCTATGTACAGTATCTATATCTATCAAAAAGCACAGAATTTTCCAGCACCACTGAAAATAATGCTGTGCATGTTAGCAGGAGAAATCTCAAAGGGAACAGCCTTTACTTATTGCAGCTTTAATCTTTTTATGTACATAACAGTAGCAGAATAAAGATGGAAAATAGGAAACCAGACCACTTCTATTCTGAGCCGTGAAAGAAACAATCTAATGAGTGGGGTTGATGTGTCCAAGACGATGTGTTTTACGACATTTTCTCAACAAGGGTCCCTTGATAGTGAGATGGGCAGCATATAATTTAATAAATAAAATAAAAAATAAAATAAGTTTCAAATGTACCCACTAATCCCAAAAATGTCAAGGGGTGGGGAATAATGTTCACAGAGATACAGTATGCCAACATTTATAAGATGGTAGACAAGAGATCATGACCAGTATATGTTTTTTGCATTTCAAAGACTTTGTGATCTCTTTCTTATTTTCTTTCACATGCTATTCACCTTTACAGCTTGAGATCTCTATATTAAATACCTTTGTGTTTCCTAAATATACCCTATACAGTCTACCATCCTTCAAGCTCTTAGATCTTACCACCAAGGAGGAGGGGTGTGTCGCTTTTGTACACGGTGCATATTCCATGAAGAGTTTTCAGATATATGAGTCACCAGGAGGCAGGTACTATGTGATTGGTTTCCTCCTACTGAGGAGACATCACATATAGTTAGTGGGATTATTCTATGGGGCTCAAACCCTAATAGGGTCTGATGAGTCCTCAATATATGCAGTCCTCAACTTTCAAACTGGGATGAAACTGGGAACTGAAAACATTACACAGTCGTCTCTCAAGCTTTTTAATGTGTTCATGGTAATAGCTAGGCTGCATTAATAGAGGGATAGAATCAAGATCACGTGAAGTTCTAGTACCACTTTACAAAGCCTTAGTAAGACCACACTTGGAATACTGCATCCAGTTCTAGTCACCACAATATAAAAAAGATGTTGAGACTCTGAAAGAGTGTAGAGAAGAGCAACAAGAATGATGAGGGGGCTGGAGCCTAAAACATAGGAAGAACTGTTACAGGAATTGAATAGCTTGCCTTCAGAAGTTGTGGGTGCTCCATCACAGGAGGCTTTCAAAAAGAAACTGGACAGCCATTTGCCTGAAATGATATAGGGCAATGGTTCTCAACCTTCCTAATGCCGCGACACTTTAATACAGTTACTCATGTTGTGGTGACCACCAACCCTCCATCCAGCTGGCCGGGGAGGGGGGGCAGGAAGGCTGCTCTGCCCAGCCTGGTTGGAGAAGCACCATTCCTCTCCCTCTTTCCTCTTTCTCTCTCTCTCTTTCCTCCCTCTTTCTCTTTCTCTTTCCTCTCTTCCTGTTTCTCTCTTTCCCCTCTCTCTTTCTCTTTCCTCTTTCTTTCCTCTTTCTCTTTCCTCTCTTTTTCTCTTTCCTCTCCCCCTCGTTCTCTTTCCCTCTCTTTCCTCTCTTTCTCTCTTTCCTCTTTCTTTTTCCTCTCTCACTCTCTTTCTCTGTTTCCTCCCTCTTTCTCTTTCTCTCTTTCCTCTCTCTTTCTCTTTCTCCCTCTCTTTCCTCTCTCTTATGACAGCATCGTCAGGGGTCCCCGCTGCCCCCGGCCCGGCCTCCGCCGCGTCCTCAGCCGAATGGGCGAGGAGGAGGAGCAGGAAGGGAGGCAGCAGCTCTGGTGGCAGCGGCGGCACGGCTGCATCGTCGAGGGTCCCCGCTGCCCCCGGGCCGGCCGCTGCCCCCACCGGGACTCCGCACTGCCCGGCCTCACCTCCGCCCATCAATGGAGCCGCAGTGGGGACAGCGCCCGACTGAGCCGCCTGGGGGGCAGCAGGAGGAAGAAGGAGAGGAGGAGGAGGACAAGGAAGCAGCTGCCCTAGCCAGGACTCCGCGCTGCCCGGCCTCGCCCTCTGCCCATCGATGGAGCCACGGTGGGGGCTGGTGCCTCGCGGCCCCCGCCAGCCCCTTCGTCAGCCTGGCTGCTCCCCTCCAGGCACCCCTCTTGTCCCGGCGCCCACTCGAGCCGCCTGGGGGGGGCAGCAGGAGGAAGGAGAGGAGGAAGAGGAGGGCAAGGAAGCTGCCGCTAGCGCCAGGCCCCAGGAGGAGGCTCTCCTCTCCTACCATTGCTGCATCTCCTTCTTCCCGGCAGCCTGGACTCTGGCGCACCTTCCCGGCCAGCTGGGCCAATGGTCAGGCTGGCTGGGGATCGCAGGGGCTGGTCTCCCTTGGGCTGCGGCTTGTGGGAGGGCTGGCCCGCTCAGTGGAGCCTCCAGCAGGCTGCTCCCAGCAGGGATCCTGGGGCTTCGCCAGGCGGCTCCAAGGCCACGAGGTCCTGGCCATGCTTCTCCCAGGGGGTGGGGCACCCAGGCGCAGGGCCAATCTCTGAGAGAGAGAGAAGGGAAGCGAAAGTGCCTCTCTCTCTCTCTCTCTCTCTCTCTCTCTCTCTCTCTCTCTGCAAATGGCGGAGGAGGTCATGCGAAGACGGACGCGGAGCAGTATCTCAGTTCCTAAGACCATCGAAAATATGTGTTTTCCGATGGTCTTAGGCGACCCCTGTGAAAGGGTCGTTTGACCCCCAAAGGGGTCGCGACCCACAGGTTGAGAACCGCTGATATAGGGTCTCCTGCTCGAGCAGGGGGTTGGACTAGAAGACATCCAAGGCCACTTCCAACTATTAGTATATGTTCTGTGTTTTAATGTTGTTGCTATTTTTTGTTGTTTAATTCCCTTGTTTTCATTCTTAGGTTTTGCTTTTATCATGTTAGAAATATTTTAGATAAAAAGACAAGTCAATCAATCAGCACTTTCAGATTTCCTTCCTTAGTAGATAGCCACATTGTGCTAGGCCACCGTTTAAGCATGGTTTATTAATAAACCACAAATGGGTTCACACCATATTAAACAAAGTTTAGTTTACAGACCATTAGAGATGGATTGCCTTAACATAAAAATCAAACAATCACTGTTGTTTGATGGTATGTGTTTGGTATCGTATAGATACATTTTAATGAAAGCTTACTTTTAATTAAATTATTAAACTTTTATAATGTGGATATTAAGGTAGAATATATTAGAACAGTTTAAATGTGGAAAGAAGTATGCCCCAAAGACTCAGTGACATTCATCAACAGTATATAGATTTTAGACAAATTACCAACAAGTGGATAGAGAGCAATTATCCAAAGCCAAGAAAGAAAGCAGCTGCTCTTGTAAGAAGCTCCGAATAGCTCTGTCCCTTGCTATTACAAAGCAGTAGAAAAGGGTAGGGCCTTGATCATCCAATCCCAGTCTCTGTCTTTGCTTTTTAGATATTTGTCCCTTTTCTGCAGACATCCCTGGTTCATAAATTCTTGAAACTATATTGTGCTCTTTGAATCCAGATCTCTGCCTATTTCTAGTGGCAAGTGTCTCTCCATTATCTCTGAGAAAGACTGGAGAATAGGGGAAAATATCAGCTCACTGGAGTTATAGGCCTCCACAGGGGCGGGAAAGAGAGTGACAAAATTTGTGCTGTTCTATTGTAATGCAAGCATAAAAGGAAGAGTTTGTATTATGATTTTACTAGATGCCTGGGGACATTGTGGGCAGGAACAGATCCTATACAGCAAATATTTTTGTTTTCAGAAAAGGGTCCAGGAAATATAAATTAATTGGCATTGGTTCTTGGGAACATTCCAAAGTAGTGTTTTTCAAACTTGGCAACTTTAAGATGCATGGACTTCAACTCCCAGAATTCTCCAGTTGGTCCCATGGAAATTATGTAAATACTGTTGTTCTCCATTTGAAATACCTATTTCACCATATATATGGCTTACAGGGATGTGCCACAGAATGAGAATTAGAACTGGTGACTTTATTAGTGAATCCACTCCTTACAAATGTCATGTTGGCTGGGGAATTGTGGGAGTTGAAGTCCACTGATCTTTAACTTGTCAAGATTGAGAAACACTGGGAACCCCTCAGTTAGAGGGGGGCAATAATGGATTAATAGAGCAATATAAGATGAGGGAATAAATATGTAGTATTTTATACTTGTTAAATTAGAAAAAAGTCTCCTTGTAGGGGAGATGGGCGGCATAAAAAATTAATAAATAAAAATAATAAATAAAACGGTGGTTATTGCGATTGTTAAGGCATGCAGTTTGAACACATCCTTTGCAGGGCAGTATTCCCAAAGCAAAGGCGCTTACCGTACAGTATACGCATGTTGCCTCTTGTTTTCCTTTGCTGGGCAGGGACTCTTAATTTGAAATAATGCTCATGAATAACCATTTGGATTTAGAAGGGGTGGGGATTGTTAATATCAGCTCCTCTGCCGCTTCGGTTTATCCACATTGTTATTAAAAGTAGGTTTCCAGGCTGCAGAGCTGATTCATTAGCTGGGATCCTTTAGTGAATGCCGGTAAGTAGATGCTAATAATTGCCTCTCTACATTTTTCTGGAGGAACTTGAGTTCAGAATAGAAATTAATGTCGATCAGACCAAAGTTTTCCACGCGTATATTTGACTGCGGCCTGAAAGAAACAGAAAGTGTATTTCAATCGTTCTGAGATTTCTGGCCATTTAAAGCTAGATTACATTACGTAATTTGAGGCATGGGAAAAGTATTGTCGGAAAGGTTAAACATCAGAATGTGGAAATCTCCCCAGGACGGTTGAAACCAGCCATGAGAAAGAAAGAAAAACTATAGGGGAAAAAATGCCCAGGGTTTTTGTGTTGGAAGGATTCTTTTGCAGGTTTCGTGCAGGGCGCAAAGCGAGCAGGGACCTTGAGTTCATTTTCCTTGCTATCTCTTCTTACAAAGACCCGGGGTTGGGCAGAGGTTGGATTCAGCAATGGCCTACTTTCTTCCAGGGCGATGCTCCTCCATGAAGAAAGAAAGCCCTTCTCAAGGTTAATGGTATCGTACATTGCAGCTTTACTGGTATCGTTTTTCTTTTAATTGTTGTCTACATAAATGCGCAGATTTACTCCCACGTCATTCCGAGATGCAGTTTAAAAAAATACTATATTCGGATCCAAGGGATTGATTCATTTTTCTAAGGCAAATTATCTGACAATTTTGGCGGACAATTTTGGCGGTGTTATTCAGCCGATCTTCAGATAAATTGCTTTGGATATTAGATTTTTTTTTTTCCTAGCAATGAACAAATATAATTTGAGACGGAGGTTTCTCGACACTGTTTTAATAATTAATGCAAATTATAATGTGGGAATATTTTAAAATATGTGCCTTTTCTGTTATGTGAAATAAGATAGTCTGGCAAAACAATAGGTAAAGGCATTTTAAAAATCTAAAATAATTTATTCTTTTTTTAAATTGTCAATGCAGACCAAGGAATAGTAGCAAAATCTGCGTGTTGTGATAAACTAAGTATAACATATTCTCAAATAGCTTGAAGCTGTGAAATCTCAGAAATAAATTAGAGAAGCAAAATGATAAATCGGGTTTTAGAGACCAAATTCAGGAAATTTGAAAGGAAACATTAAAAATGTCATACCTGGCATATTATGCTGCTTTCTGTCACCTGAGCTTTCTGTAACGTCCTGATTAATAGGTAAATTGAAGGACCTTAGTGTTTAATGCAGGGATGGGCAACTTTACAACCTGAGGGCTACAATTCCCAGAATTCCTGTCTCACCATGGTTGGCTCTGGAATTCTGGGAGTTGAAGTCCACGGGTCATAAAGCTGCCATAATTGCCTATCCCTGCCTCAATGTCTTCTGTATTGATGAGGTCAAGAATGTTGCACTTTTTCCTAAAAAAATCTTACCACCACTTTTTCATCCAAGTCATTAATTAAAAATTTGAACAGGCCAGACACAACATCACACTTGGTGAATCTAGTTTTTACTCCACAAAATGACAGAACATTGTCATATGATACTTTAATAGAACTGGAGTCGGAAATCCGTGTTGTTGGGTTCTCTTTTTTTGTTAAAATACAAAGATGGCTTTTCTTTTATTAGATGTGCTCAAGCAGAGGCCAGAGAGCCATCTGTTTTATAGAATCATAAAATTAAATGGTTGAAATAGATTTGAAGCTGATCTAGTCCCACTATTAAGTAAAATATTTTCTATCCAATAGGGAATGCAGTATCATACATCACTGTAACATATGAATTGGCATCTAGAGCACCATGTCTTTAATCATCAGCTGGACCCATTAGTTGCTTCCAGAAAAAGACACATGGCGGAATGCATATGAAATACAGTGGTATTTTTTATTGAATTAGTTGTAGTTTTAAACCCCCCATGTTTGTGTAAATCAAGAATGATAAATAAGTGTCAAGATAGTCTTCATGTTCATGTAGTAGACATTCCCAGTTTTTTCCCATGACTCCTTAGATTTTTGAGCATCTGATTTTGCATCTAAAAATAATTTATAAATTGCTGTTATTACATTTGTAAATAACATCTGTAAAGGATCTTCTAGTACTGTACTAGAGAGAATTCTTCAACTTAATAATAACCCATTCCATTTCTTGAATTAAAGCGTTTTCTTGCTGTTTTGTGGTTTGGATTCTCTGTAGGTAATCTTTGAGGATCAAGTGGGAGCTGCATGCCACACCTCTCTAATAAATTAACATGGCAAAAGGGGAAACTGTGCTTTACAAGTTATTTCTAATGGTCAAATTTTTCCATCCATTCTTCTGAAAAAGAAGTTAATAATTTCTGCTTCTGACAGTTAAAACTTCCTAACTGAAAAATGACTGTTCCTCAAACCTTCTTGTTTTCCAAATAAATAAGAAAAAAAGCATTAAATGTCTGGAAATATGCTTGTCATGTATACTACAAGTTGCTTGAACCAAAGTAATTTTTCTCCAGATGTTTTTTAATGGATGGCTCACCTGTCCATATCTGTTGCTATTTGAATATTAAATGTTGTTCGGGAAGAGCTTCTGGTTTTGTAGGTCTCTTCCTTTTAATTATATATCAACAGTATGGAAAATAGCAGGAGAATGAAGGGAATCATCTTCAGTGCTTCTGTGGTTGCAGAGTGAGTAATGCTAGTAAGCTAGAAGAGCAGCCATTGTCCATCAATTATACATTGGTCTGAATTGCTTACTTCTCTTTCTATATTTAGATGAGCCTTGCATTTCTATTTTTATTCCTTTTTATCTACTTTGTGTTAGTTTTTAATCTTTTTAATTGTGATGTTTAATAAAATTATTATAAAAAGAAGTCAGTGCACCGAGAAAAGCATTTTTCTAATATAAACAATCCCAGTCTCTAGAGCAGGCGTCTCAAACTGCCAGCCTGCAGGCCGGTTGCATCATACAGAGGCCGCGCCCACCCCAGCTCCGGCAATGCAAAATAAGTCATGATACGTCGCAACACATCATGTGATGTGGCGAGTTTGACACCCGTGCTCTAGAGGGACCGCCTTGGAAAAATCAGTTCTAGATGGCTTTCTTGGATTGCAAAAGATTAGAGCCTCCCTAGTCCTAGAATGGGTGGCAGATGCAATGATACAGGGGAAGCGCAGCACAAAGAAGACCCAATTCCAGAGGTTCTGTAGTGGCAAGACTCTTTCAGAGTGGATAGTTAATGCTTTATTTTTCTCCTTACTTGTCCTTATATGTTAATAATTTATATAATTTGACATCTATATATCTAGGACCATCTTTAACACACAAGAAATGTATTCTTTTGTGGGCTTTACTTTTTTCTTCTCCATTTCATTTTTTCTTTTCTTCTGCAGATATTTGCAATGGTGGCAAATTGCAGTATTGCAGGCTAACTCTGCCCACTGCCAGGAATTCAGTCCTGACAGGTTCAAAGTTGACGTAGCCTTCTATCTTCCTGAGGTCGGTAAAATGAGGACTCAGATTGTTGGGGGCATTATGTTGACTCTGTAAACCAGTTAGAGAGGGCTGTAAAGCACTATGAGGCAATATGTAAGTCTAAATGCTATTGCTAGCATTACTTAAAATATATTTTATAAAGTCAATTACAAGAGTACTCCACCAGCCTTCAAGTCTTTCTGGTATGATACAGAGGTCTTCCCTGGAAAGTGGTCTCTCTGCCAGCTGTCTTTACCAATAATAGGTCCCAACTGCAGTGATTATATCTAAGGATATGGAAATTCATCGCCAATTTGTCATCCTTTCCAATTTTCTCTAATCTGCCCTAATAACAAAAGCAAAACCAGACTTTGTGTAAACTGCCTTGGTTAACATAAAAATGGAATTGGTCCCCACCCTTTTCTCTGGGAGAAGATCCAGTAAAAGGAAAAACAGAATTGTTGCACAGTGTCTTTTATTGGCAATATTGCCTCAAAGTTTCCTTTACAGTTGACAGAATGCCCTGAAATAGTCCCAAGCTGATAAAGTTGCCCATGAAGAAATTGGGGTGGAGATAGCTTGACTATGAGAGGAACATGAAGGAAATCCTGCTCTGCAAACATTTATGGAAACTTTAGTTTCTTGGCCTTAACTTAAACCACAAGTTCTTTTCCAAGCATAGTTTGCATTGTCTTTAGGAAATGTCTATGGAAATTCTCAGTTATCCAGGTCATGGTTGTCCCAAAGGTACTTTTTCAAAAGGCAACTGGGCTTTCTTTATTTTTCCTTGAAGACGTTACGCTTCTCATCCAAGAAACTTCTTCAGAAAGCCCAGTTGCCTTTTGAAAAAGCATCTTTGGGGCAGTCTTCAGCAAGATTTCTTGAGAAGAAAGAGATGGGGTACAAGAATTCCAGCAGCTGAATTATATCCCATCTGCAGCCAACATATCCCTATAGTATGTTATGGTGAAATGTTCCCTTGTTTGTTTTTTCTTGCTGATCCCTGTCTGGAAAGCTGGAAGGTGATTCTTTTAAAAAATTGTCTCCTGAATCCTTGTCAATCTGGAAACTAATCAGTTCAGAAGCACTGAGCTCTAGAATCAATTCTGTAGTGTTTATAAATATATCCTGATAGAAATTTAATATTTCATAATGAAACATAAGCATACCTTTTAATATTTCCATATTGGGGGAAAGTGTAATGTGAGAGGGTAAGCAAATCACATTAGGTTTTTATGGTAGTACTTGGAACTGTATGTGCTTCAGAAATAAAGTAAAATGATTTTTTTCTGGGCTCTATGCAGCTCCCCCTCTCAATATGCCATTGCTTAAAGAGCTGCATTAACTTTAATAGTAGATATCTTAAAATATCTGCATGTTTTTCAGACTTCTGCATGTTCCAATGCAGTTCCTTCACATCTTTTTTGGAAACATGCACAGATCTAGTAACCATTCCTCTGTATTCATAGTCCAAACTAAGTTGCCCCATGCCTTGTTTTGATTTTGGTTTAGCTTGTTCAAATATAGCAATTGTGGTTAGTTCAATAAACCATAGTTGATTAAGGCTTGGTATGCATGAAACCAGGCATTATTATATACAGTATACATACAAAGACTAGATGTAATATGTTAATCATAAGAAGAATTAAAAAATACATTAAGCACATATCTTAAGTCAATTTTGCAAAAAAAAAAATTGAAAATTTTAAGTTTGTTGGAACTTCATCAAACAAGACGAGGGTTTGATTGACCAATAATATCTCTCAATTCCTGTAGCTGGCTAAACCATACTGTAATTTGATGATGATTTTAAGTAGGAAGATGAAGAGTCAGAAAAGCAAATCTCTGGAACAAAATTTTTGTAAGTTGCATGTTGTTTTTGAGACATGCAGTGAAATGTGCTGTGTTGAGAAAAGAAATTAAACACATTGATATGTCAGTCTCGTGATACTATTTACAGAACTGGATTTATTTTTAAATGGGAGTATATCAATAGGACAGTTTTGGGCTGCTAATAAAAATGGCTAACTGGAGGACTGGAAAAACAAATAGATATTTCATTAGATTTACAGTATGATCTTAAATATTGTTCAACAGCATTTCACATTGTTATTAGCTGCTAACTTAGAAACTTAGATTATTATTTGGTGTTGTAGTTAAAAGAGCCAGTTTAGTGTGACGGTTAAGGCACCAGGCTAGAAACTGGCTGACTTTGAGTTACAGTCCTCCTTTAGGCACAAAGTCAGTTGGGTGACCTTGGGCCAGTCACCTACTCTCAGCCCTAGGAAGTAGGCAATGGCAAGTCACTTCTGAAATCTTGTTATTAAGAGTCAAGACTAACTCAAAGCACCTCCCCTCCCAAAAGATCCTGTTTTCTGTTTTGCTTTTTTACAGTCAAAGACTTGAGCTAAGAAGGAATGGGCAGCATTATATTGAAAATGTAACAGAAAAGTGAATTCATCACAAAAAAGGAAATTAATTTGCTTTTATTTAATTTTGATATTTATTATTCCCGTGTGCTGTTTCTTCAAACTTCCAGTATGGCAGTTTGGCTTATGAGGCTGCTTCACAAAAGGCATTTTTTGCGGGATGATGTGCAAATCTCAATATTAGTGTCCATGTCTCTTGTTTTGTTTGCTGTGTGTAAACTGTTGAGAATCTGCTGTTAAGCTTTCCAATAAGAATACATCTAACAGAATAGATATTTTTACTATCTGAACATGTGATGCACTGCATTGATGTTCTTCTCCCCATTCAAGAACAAGATCTTGTACGAAATCTATATTCATATTTACCTGCCTATTTGATTGATTAGATGCCATCACGTCATTGTTGATCCCTAGCAACCATATTGATTTTTCTCCACAATGATCTTTCAGATCTTCGAATGATGCACTCATTATCACTATAACTCAGACTGTCCACCTTATTGCTGGTCATCCTTTTCTTTCCATCCTCTTGAACTGCATTTGAGCTTTCTCCAACAAGATAGATCTTTGTAAAATGTTTTGGTAAATGTAAAGCCCAAGTAAGAAAGAAAAACATTTAAATTCTAAGAGAAAAAAAATATCATATGAAGTCACAGTCCACATGGTGAACTGATTAGAGACATACCTTGTGCAGGCTAAACATTTCTCATGGGCACCAAATTGAGTTAAGCTGAGGTAAGAATATGCTGCTGAGACCACAGTCTAAATTTACATTCAGGTTTTATTGGTTTATGATTTGGCCATGTTTTGTGAAAGCCTTGAGCAGTTGTTAAAATTTGGATAGTGGAATTAAAAGATAGAAAGTGAATAGAAACCTTTCACACATATCGTTAAGAGACTTTGGCACCTGGCCTTTGTTTTTATGGGTGATATAATATTCCAGAGTTTATACTGCTTTTCCATATATTTTCTATCTTTTTTGTATTAGCAAAGCATGCGGAGGGGCCTTCAAGGGCTACCTATGGCCTTAGCATCTGCATGTTGCTGGAGGAAAGAATAGACAGAGAGATTTTGTCTTGATGTAAATCCTTTTTTTCTTTCCTGTAGGATTACTTTTCCAGTTAAATATTAATTATGCCAGTGGAATGGAGAAATTGAGTAATCAAGAACTTGAGAATTTAGCTTCTTCAACCCATGATCAGGACAAAGGCAGTGTGAAACAGGGCAGTCACCGCATTAACATGTTTCCTTTGTGCAGAAATCATGGTAAGGACAAAGGTTTTTTTAACATTTAAAATGTACCACAAAACATGATTTTGTGTACCTCTTTGGGATCAAGTTATTAATAGCTGCATTTCCATGGAATCTGTAAGCCAATTGTTACCATACTGTAGCAACCATACTGTGAATAAGATGTACTGTAATGTGTGTAACCCATTAAGTTATATTTATCTCTTCTTGATAGTGCAAAACCTAAATAAATCAATTGTAATCAAGTGAAATGAGCCAAGTGTGGACAGAGTGTGAATCAGTCTTCTGTGTGATGAAACTACTACAGATCTTTAAACATAATACTTTTATTATGTAATCAACCTGCCTAGGACAGGTCAAGCCATTCACAATTTCCATCTCGACTCTTTTTCTTCCATCTTTTTTATATCACAAGAAGGAAGTGTGGAACAATTCTGCATATATTAATTCGGCTAGAAGGGTCTGTCTATATGTATTCTAAATCAGTGATGTTTTTTCTTATGACATTAGGGTATTTATGTGGTAACCATAATTAATGTATTAAATATAAATTAATAATGTATACTGTATTAACCACATTAACCAGTTTGGTTTAGTACTTAAGGCACCAGGCTAGAAAGCCAGAGATTGTGCATTCTAATTCTGCCTTAGCCATGAAAGTCAGCTGGGTGACCTTGGGCCAGTTACTCTCTCTCAGTCTAACCCACCTCACAGGGTTGTTGTTGGGGGGAAATAGAAGGAGGAAGGTGTGTTGAGTATGTTCGCCGCTTTGAGTTATTTATAAAAATAATAAAGGCAAGATACAAATAAATACTCATTCTGAGTTATAGATGAACTTTTTAAATCTAATTATTGATTGCAAATATTCAGATGCTCCTCATATCTGATGTCTTTAGGAGAACAGCTCAGATCTGCTTTTCACCCAGCAAGTGCTCTAAGTTCTAATGGCTTTGAATATGCCAATATTATTTTCTTCCCAGGAGGGAGTAAACGAAATCAAGGCTACTATAGTACACAAGAACAGTCTGGGAGCAGTACTAACAACTTGAGCAATAGTCCACAAGTCCAAGCCCCAGAGAAAGTGACTCTTGTTGTAGATGGAACAAGATTTGTTGTAAACCCACAAATTTTCATAGCCCATCCTGATACAATGCTGGGAAGGTAAGTGACTCTTGAGTTGTAAAGACTTCCAGAAGCCGTTTTGCATGCTTTCCTATCTTAGAGATATGACCAGGCTAAGCAGGAGTCTGAATGGTATGTGTAAAGTTATAACAAGTGCTTAGATTCAGTTTTCCTATTTCAGCGTTTCAAAAAGTAGAAAACTTTGTAAAGCCTAAATAGTTTTCATGATAGTCCCAAATGACAACTTGCTCATATAGAAATTATTCTTTGCTTAAGTGGTCTTAATCTGATCTACCTGCCTTAATTTCTTTCTGCTTTCCAGAATGTTTGGACCAGGACGAGAATATAACTTCACTCGTCCAAATGAGAAGGGCGAATATGAAATTGCAGAAGGCATCAGTGCTGCTGTTTTTCGGATTGTGCTGGTGAGGAATTCCATGATGTTTCAAAAGCAGAGCTATTCTTCCTATTTATAAAGTTCCTATTCTTGCTTTCAACTTCAAGAGAATTCTGAATTTCTTGATAAGTATTTTCTATTCTGTTTAGACTCCAGATTTCTCTCTTTCATTTTCCCCCATTTTGTTCTTTTAAGGGAGTCCATATCATTTGATTTGTTAGATGTATATTTCATCTTCCCTCTAAGAGCTCACACAGTTATATAGGGATCTTGGTGCATTTTATTCCCATAACATCAAACCTGTTAGGTAGGTTAGCCTGAGATAGTGATTGATCTAAAATAACCCAGTGAGTTACAGTGGTTAAGAGCAGAGCTGAACCTAGATTAAATGTATTGCTCTCCATTAAATATATTGCTCAAAGCCCATATTGAGTTTTGAATCCCAAATCCACATGGGAAAAGACTTGGAATTCTTGGAGTTGAATTCAACTCATCTAGCAAAAACAAAGTGAACATGGTTGATATATATCAACATTTTTATCATATGATTTATTCTGTATTCCTTATTTAGGGAGAAAGGAAGAATATAACACTATTAATGGTCAGCTTTTAAAAATAATCTAGGAAAAAATTATGTGCCAACTATATATAAAACCTAACAATATGCTTAAACTATCAGTAGATGACAGATTGCCTGTGCATGCTGTTTTGAATGTTTTTGTTGGAGAAATTTAATAATATTTTATCCTTTGACTTTTCAGGATTATTACAAAACTGGAATCATTCACTGTCCCGATGGAATTTCTATTCCTGATCTCAGAGATACTTGTGACTATCTTTGCATCAATTTTGATTTCAACACAATCAGGTGTCAAGATTTAAGTAAGTATTAAAGCATTTATAATAGCCTTCCCAAAGAAGTGCTCTCCAGACATGCTGTCTTTAGTTCCAGAATCTTCTAGCCATCATGGGTCCATTCATCATGCTGGCTAACATTTTAGAGAGATTTAAAGTAAGTGAGGACACTCACTTAAAGGAGAAATGTATCAATTCTATATATATTTATGTGTTTTATGTTTTGCGCTAGATCTTTCTGTGGAGATGAAATTGGACTGATAGAGTTAGACCACAGATAGGCAACTTTGGCTCTTTTATGACTTGTGGACTTCAACTCCCAGAATTCCTGAGCCAGCCATGCTAAGGGGAGAGGTTTCCAAGCTGAGCCATGCTGGCTCAGGAATTCTGGGAGTTGAAGTCCACGAGTCATAAAAGCCATGGTTGCCTACCCATGAATTAGACGTATAACATTCAACCATATTCAGGAAAACCATATATTTATTTCCTTAGGTGCATTATTGCATGAACTGTCTAATGATGGGGCTCATAAGCAGTTTGATAGCTATCTGGAAGAGTTAATCCTGCCAATAATGGTTAGTAGTGCTAAAAAAGGAGAGCGTGAATGTCATATTGTCGTATTAACGGATGAAGACATAGTGGACTGGGATGAAGACTATCCACCCCCAATGGGGGAAGAATATTCACAAAGTAAGTATTTTTAAATGTTACATAAAATACTTTTTAAACCTAAAATAACATTGCACTTTTATAAAGAAATTCTCTGTTAGTGTCTTATGCAAATATCAATTTCCAAGGGTCTTTGCATTCCAGTATACAATTAAGAATATAAAAGTCATAATGATTGTGATACACTACATTGCTGAATGTAAAATTATATGCTTAAGGCCATATATCGTTATAAATTACAAAATATAATCCTTGCAATAGATGTACAATTTTAGTCTGTTAATTGCTTGGGTGAGAGATAATTTCCTTGTTACAGGAATATAACATTGTTTCTTTTAAAAGCAGTATTTTTCCATGGGAAAAATGCAGTGCTTCCTGAAGTATTGAATGTAAAATATTTTGTATTTTTTAAAATATGATTGTGAAAGTGATACAGATATGAAATGCCTTACAATCAGACAGGGAAATGGGTGGCATATAAACCAAACAAGCAAATAAACGAAACAAACAAATACATCAACCAAACAAATCAGTATTACATTACTAATGATAAGTCATACTATTTATTCCCTCCTCATGTCACACAGTAGGATCTTGTGCTTGGATTGAGCTAGACAATCTAATAGACTTCTTCATCTTACCCAGTCCAGGTGTGTGAATCTATTTCTGTTGCCAAGGCATAAAAAAGTGGCTCTTGGAGTCCCCCGTTTTCCAAAATTTATAAAGTTTTCTTGATCAATGTCCAAAGTATTCATTGTATTTCTGGGTCCTTCCAGAGCATCAGCCTTTGATTTTTCAAGCTTTTACAACCCAGTGTAAATGAAGTGAGTTTTCTACTACATTTCTTATTTGTTGTTGATATAGAGACATCTCAAGTCTAAAACTTCTGCTGAAAAATATAGTCACTCACTGATCTACCTTTATCCTTTGCTTCCTAAAAGTAGGCCAATAGCTGACTGTCTCCCCTTCAGAGCTTCTGTTCATAATGAATTAGCAAAGAACCCTTCTCCTTCTACCAAAAACATTCTTAACATTTTTTTAAGCGCCATTTTGGTCTAGTAGTTAAAGCACCAGGCTAGAAAGCAGAAGATTGTAAGTTCAAATTCTGACTTATCCATGAAAGCCATCTGGGTGTCTTTGGGTCAGTCACTCTCTCTCAGTCCAGCCCATCTTACAGGTTGTGGAGAAAATAGGAGGAAGGTGTAATGGATAAAAACAGGATACAAATAAATAAATGTAAAAAAGAGCCATATCTGAGTGGGGTAATGAAGAAATATGAATATATAAATCAATACACTGAAAAGCTTCACTAACTTTTAGTGGCTATGGTGCCATGTCTATATTGCATTCCAATGTAGGGTAGCAAAGACATGGTGGTGCCAAGACAGCATTTCTCTCTTCAGATGCCTTTCCAGATGTGACCTTGGCAGAAAGGTACTAACCCATTGAAAGGTGGCTGGTGAGTTAAGGGCGAGAGTTTCTGAAGAACATTGGCAGCTTGAAAAACAGGATGACAAACAAGATGCTAAACCTCTTTAAGAAATTAAAAACATTTGTTCTAAGTAAAACATTCACAAACAAAAGGCTATTACAAGCTCCATGAGCAAGATGCAGAATCAATGGAATGGGAAGGGAACGAGAGAGAAGCGTCATCAGGACTGTAGTATTGCTTGGCAGAGCAGAAAGAGGTTGAGGCAAGAATTTGCTCTAGGGAAAATAAATCACACTGTGGCTGCTGAACCACAGTAAGATTTTTCTGAGAAAAGCAGGAACTTCCTAATTTAAGGAAAAGAAGTAAACATTTCTGCTTTTGCAGAAATAAGAACAAGGGAAGAAATAGAAATTGTATTTGAAAGGGAAGACTTTTGACATTATGAAACTGCAAGTCTTTCTTATAGGATAGTAATATGGTCATTGGAAATTGCCTCTATTTTCAACTGTTATTTTTGAAAAAAAGTTGTCCAATTATTGTTTGTCTCAGCAAATTTAAGAATAGCTGTTGTACTCATATTCATTAATTAATGTGGGTTTTTTTCCCCCTCACCTCAAAGTTCTATATAGTTCTAAGCTCTACAGATTCTTCAAGTATATTGAGAATCGGGATGTTGCAAAAACTGTTTTGAAAGAACGTGGCCTCAAAAATATAAGAATTGGCATTGAAGGTATGTACAGTGTTTCCTAAGTAATACAAAGTGATAAAAAGGAAAGTAGCTACACTTTCCTTTTTGAAACATCAATTTATTGATTTTATTAGTCAGCTCTATGTAGTTTTGCTGATTCCTTAATGATAAACTTTGTTGAGGTCTTTGGAATGACCTATCCAGTCAGTTCCTGAGAAACTGTTAATGCTTAACATTCCTTGAGCTTTGCCTATTTTGGGGTGGGGTGGGTGGATGTTATTTAAAGTCTGGTCCTCCCTTCTGAAATTAGCAGCAGTAACCTGACTCAAGGCCAAACTAGACATAACAGTTCAGCTTTGTGTACTGAACACACGAGTCAGTTCCATTTATATTTTCAGTGCAGAGAAAGTATTTTCTTTGTGTCACAGTCTTTTTCAATCTAGTGTCTGCCTCAAGATGTCTTGGGATCAGACCTCCCAGACCAAATGGCTTCCTTGAAGAAGTAATAAAGCTACATGTAGGGACTGGAGTTGGTTTGGGAGGATAATTATACCAGAATAACTGTGTTTCAGGTTATCCCACTTGTAAAGAGAAAGTGAAAAAGAGGCCTGGAGGACGCTCTGAAGTTATCTATAACTATGTTCAACGTCCATTCATCCAGATGTCTTGGGAAAAGGAAGAGGGAAAAAGTCGGCATGTTGATTTCCAGTGTGTTAGAAGCAAATCTCTAACAAATCTTGTAATGGCGGGTGAAGACATAGCAGAAGATCAAGAGATTGTGTTGCATCACCCTCCCCAGGTAGACGAGCTTGATCGATTAAATGCACCATCCTCTCAAATGGATGCTAATGAAGTGGCAGATTAACTACGCAGCACAAATGGCTCTTAAATGAACTTGATTTGGCTTTTGGATGGGGACTTAATGCCCACCTCAGAGCAGAAATTTCTTGCCATGGTTGCTATAGTTCCTAAAATAGTCTCTTCAAGCCCAGGGGACTATTTTTATCAAATTTGCTTCTGGGGTGGAGGCAAGCATTCTCTTAGGAGAACTGGAAATCTAAGGATTGAGTTAACATGCCGTAGCGAAGTAATTGAATTGGAACTAAAACAATGGAAACATATTTTCAACTCACTTGAACTGAAAGGATTGATTGATTATGTGACATCAAGTCGTTTTTTTTATTCCTACCACTTAAGATTTTCTCCATGATGATCTATCCCTAATTTGTTTGTTCAAGTCTCCCAACAGTGCAGTTCCAATGCCCCTGCAACTATCCATCCATCTTGCTGCTAGTTGTCCTCTTCTCTTTCCTTCCTGCTTTCCCAGTATTAGAGCCTTTTCTCTAAAGACTTTGTGTAAAATATTAGAAGTGAGATAATTTGACTCTGGTCATTTGTGCCTCGAGTGATAATTCTACATTGATTTGTTTGATGTTCTATTGAATTGCAAGGAATGCATAAAAATATGTACACTGACTCAGTTTTAAAAGGTACGATATCATGAAGGATTCCATTGTGGTATTACAACCATTGACATTGTCATAGCAATGAGTTTGATACCCTTCATCCTCCATTACCTGGCTGAGATAAGATACTTATACAGAAACATCACTCCTACAATGCATGCACTTCTGTCATCTTTCTTTTCAATTTCCTATCCTAACACTGATATAAAAACTCAAAAAGGAAGATCAGACACAAGGTAAGCACCTACAGAGAAAAATTGGAATCTGTGAATGCCCAATGGACCACTCAAATTAGTTACAAGGAAAGAACCCATTCTACTTTACACATATGACTAAGTAGTGTTTACTGGAAATAAAACTACTGGAATAGAAAGGAAAGTACCACTTGGAGAAAACAATGTGTCATCTTGGGCTCAAACATTCAAGCAGTAACACTGGATGAATGAATGTGGCTGAACATTCCCCCCCCCTCCCCCAAGCAAAGGCTGCAAAGCAGCATCTCTTGAAGGCAAAGAACTTGTGGAAGGATTCCACAGCATTTTTAAGAAAGTGACTTTTCGGGAAAACCTGCATTACAGTAGCTATCATATGAGTCTTGAATATGGAAAAGGCTTTGTTTCATATAATCCATCCTCTTGGCTAAGAATATTAATCTTTGAACTTTGATACTAGCAAGGATGTCAGGTTTCATGCCATCACTTCTCAACATTTTGGCTAAGAGAAGTTGTTTGGAGGAGTAAGTTTCCTAGCTGTCTCAGCACCTTGGGACAATCAGGATACTTAAGGCTGGCCCTTTAATCAATTAGGAAACATAATCAGCAGGACCAGTAGAAAGTCATATATAGCAGGGCTTCTCAAACTCATATACTGCACTTCACAAAATGATAAAATGAATTTGTATGATCCCTTCCCCCCATTAATTTCTATTGGGATTATGGTTGGGCGATAAATATTGTACCTTTTTAATAATTAAAATTGAATTCATGTATCAAATCAAGCCATGATAGAACTTTACATTTATACTCAAAACGACAAACAGTAAAATGAAAAGCTAAAATTTTTAGTGAGAAGGATTTTTTAGTTTTGTGCAATTCCTAAAATCTGGGTTTCATTTTAAAGACAGCTTTTTTCATTCTAAAGTTCGGAGTGGGAAGAGGGGAGAAAAGCAAGTCTAAAGTGCTGCGGTTTACAAAACGCTGGCGGCCTGTCAGTTGCTTTTGGCATTGGCATTCTCCCTGCACTGCCCCTTGACAGAATAGTCACAGCACATATTCTTTCACTTCAGTTCCCCCCTTCCCTTTTTTGTAACTCTCAGCAGGTGAGTTGGCATTAGATGCTCTGCATGGAAGCTTTGTGCCTTACAGGCATGATTGCTTCTCCATTGAAAGAGAAAGGCAGTTTGTTAAAGCAAAAAGAACATTATTTAAGGCTCTGGAACTTTCAGGATACTTTTGCATCAGACTGGAAAGCCTACTCAGAAAGACAAGGAAACATTCCAGACAACTCTCTATTATTTCATGACCCCATTAAGGATTGTGACCCACACTTTGATTAATGCTAGGAATGGCTGGGTTTAGTGAAGGCATTTACTAGTGATTCCGCATGGAACAAAATATAGAGTTTCATTGATAGTAGAAGAGCAGCTACTTTCCCTGATACAACAGCAATTGTGGATTTCTCCATCCATTTAAGATGCATCATTGTGAGAATAAAGAACGGATAGCCACAGTCCAGACGGTTGGGTTCCATCTGCTATTGCAAGGAATGGTATAGTTTTGGAGATATGCTCAATTTTGGAATGGAAAACGAGCTTTTAATGCAGGTGAGAAAATGTTGCAGAAGTTTGTGGATGCTTCCTTTGTCCACAGCATATACTGGAGTGAGTATAGAACTGGAGCTACAGAATCCCTGAAACTACAAAGATATCAATCTCCTGCAACTGATCAAACCAGGAGGCAGCTTATCATATATTTCCTTATTTCTGGGTTGAACTTCCACCCTTGAGTCAGTAGAAAACTGTTAGTGTGTCCTCTATCCCTATCTCTATTGCCTTGAATTCAGTCATCTAACTTTACTCCCAGGTGACAAAGCGTATCAGATAAAGACTGCACTTGGGCTGCGTCAGAAAGAGAGAAGCTATTTTCACACTAATACATGTAAGGATGACTTAGATCTATCTTGCTCATGGACTGTAGTTGATATGAAGGTCATATCACGGGGCACAGGAGAAATAAAAATGTCATCAAGGGTTTATTAGCTACAATCGGATCTAAGTGGAGAAAAGCCAGAAACTGAGTAAAAAAGCAAGATGGGGAATTGGCGTCTGCCTTATACAATTAATGTCTTTAAGATGTGTATAAAATGAATTGGGTTAGTATTCTCTTTGAGCTATTAATGGCTGAATAGTTTCAGCCAGGGAAGATAATGAGCACTTTAATGTAGACTGATAAATACAGATTTATAGATCAGTTAGACTGCAGGGTTTCTCAACTGTGACCATTTTAAGGCATGTGGACTTCAACTCCCAGAATTCCACAGCCAGCATTGCTGGTTGTGGAATTCTGGGAGTTGAAGTCCACATGCCTTAAAATGGTCAAGGTTGAGAAACACTGAGTTAGAGAAACCTCATGGATCAGTAGAAACACAGCTGGAATACTGCTGAATTTTATTGGCTTGAATATCAGGCTGTTTGTTCCCAGAAGGGCTTGCTAGAACTAGTGTAAGTCCTGCTGGACTTGATTAGAATTTTGCTGTTTCTTTAGGGCAAACTTTTCAATCCTGTGTTGTTTCACAACACATGGAGCTTACAATTGAAATGTGTTTTTTTTTAAAACAGATGCATCCAGCACTGAGCTAGATAAGTAGGATCTTTATAATATATATAGTTCCAATGTCCTGAGCAATCAGTGTATAATTGAATGGAAAATTCAAGCTTCTTTAGTCACTAGACATTGATAAGTATCATTTTGAGGCAAAATATAACTTCCTACAAAAAAAAGGAATTGTCCAACATTATAACTCCAGACAGCTTTTAGATTAAAGTTTTCAATCAATCTGTCATCTTCACTTCCAAAATAGATTAACACATTTTGGTATTATTTCATTGCAGAATCATTAGGATAAAGCAGACTTAATTTAATTTCTGTACACATTTAGTCAAGAGCCAGTTTGATATGGTGGTTGTGCAGTGTTTCTCAATGGTGGCTGTGGAATTCTGGGAGTTGAAGTCCACATGCCTTAAAATTGTCAAGGTTGAGAAACACTGGGTTAAGGCATCACGTTATAAACTGGAAGTCTGAATTCTAGTCCTGCCTTAGGCACAAAGCCAACTATGTGTCGTTCAGCAAGTTGTTCTTTCTCAGCCCTAGCAGGTAATGGTAAACCAACTCTGAAACTTACCAAGAAAATTTCAGGAACTTTTCCAGGCAGTCATCAGGAGTAGACACGGACTTGAAGGCAGCAGGAAAAACACACACACACAAACACATATTTACAGTAATGGGAATTTCAGAAAAAGACATACATTTCTGTATCAGAATTCAATAGCCAACTATAAAGCTACAATCAGGGACGTTCAAAAAAAATCTACATATTCTTCTGAAAGGATTCTCCCCTTTACTGTCAGGGAAACAAGTCATTTTGCATCTTTTAAAGATAATTTTATCATAAAAGATAATTTTATCATTGTTTTAACTTTGTACGCCGCCCTGAGTCCTTTGGGATTGGGCGGCATATAAATACTATAATAAATAAAATAAATAAATAATGACCAATAAATTATCCAAAGAATGATTTAAGTATTGGAAAAAAAATGTATCTACTGTAATCTTAAAAGTTGGTCATATTCAAAGACAACATTACATTGGCTAATACAGTTATCTCCAACTTTAGTAAAATTCAGAATAGAATTGGAAGATTGTATTTTGATACTGTCTTAACCGTGTTTTCAGGGCAGGGATGGCAATCAAAGTATTGCTGAGTTTGGAGTGACCTTGTACTTCCTGTTTGAATATATCCAGTGAGAGCATTCCCCACTTGATAAATGCCAAAGTTCTCTTAATATTAAGGGGGTGGAAGTTTTTTTTCCCTTTCTGTTCAATTACAATCTGCCTTCTTATAATTTGAAATGATTTATAGAGCATCTTGCACTTTGGAATGATGGAGAACCTGCCTTGTCCTTTTCATTCAGGTACAGTATTCCTTCAGGTACAAGAATATTGATATCACCCTGCCCTTTTCTTTTTCAAAGCTAAGCATTTCTAATTCCTAAATCTTTGTAATAAGACTTGGTTTCTAATTCCCTGCTAATTCTTATTTCCCTTTCTGAATCTGTTTATCTAAATCTTTTTAAAACTGTGGTACCTAGAATTGTATGCTGTAGTCAATATGGGGACCAGTGAATGCAAAATCTTACGCAAGCCACATTGTAAACTAAGTTTGAATAAGCAGTACAATCAGCTCATTCTCATACAAATTAAATATTTCCTTGGAGGCCAATCATCTTCTAGAGACAAATTTGTTTTAAATTTGGCCATTTCTAAATTGGTTGACAATTTTTTTTCCATTGTTGAAATGTGAATAATGCACATTTGATTAAGATATCTAATGTACTCCGTGGCATTTACATGTTGCTGGACTACATTGTTCAACAATGCCAAAAAATCATGATTGATGGTGAAGGGTGCAGGGCACCATAGTTCAGCAACATCTGGAGGCCATAGCTTTCTTGCACCTAGAAAAATTTGCTGTAGCAGATATAAGGCAATGATTATGCCATTGGACCCAGATCCAAGTCACAATTTTAGGAAAATCATTATTTCAGTGGGTACAGACCAAATCTGAATCTAACTCACTAGATAGATAAAATAAAAAGCAACTTTTAAATCAAAACGATGACAAATTCAGGTCTGTGAAGTTTAGGCTCATTGTATCCCAGTGAACTGAATATTACCTATCTCACATACAAAGGCCAGCAGCACTTCTTGTAGAATCACTCTGATCTGTAGAGTGAGCTGTAGAGGCAATACAATTCAGAAGTTATTCACACAGGTTTATTCTAAAAATATATTTCTTAACTGATGCAAGTATTTATTTTCCCATTCCATTGCATTTCGGAAAATGGAAAATTTCAATTCAGGAGTAATTACAACTTTATTCTTTTATTATTGTGATTTATAAGTTAATTCAATGCTTAGCATTTAGAAAATCATGTGGTTTCAGTATTTTTTGTAAAGGTAATTTTATATACTTCATAGACTTTATTAAAATACTTTTTAATCTGTTTTCCTGTGACTTTTCTTTTGATGCCTTGACAGCCATGTACCATCAGTAGAAATTACATACATGTGTATCTATATTCACTTAATAGGCTCCACCTAACGTAGATGTGCACATAGAAACAAGATACAGTATATATCTACAATTGATGTTACAAAGTCTAAATGCTGACGTATAATTTCTATCACATGTGAACCAGATTTGGTTATAACCAAGGTGGTTTGCATGATATGCCTGTAAATGAGCCGAGGTGGCGCAGCAGTTAGAGTGCAGTACTGCAGGCCACTTTAGCTGACTGTGTTCAGCAGGTCAGCGGTTCAAATCTCACCGGCTCAAGGTTGACTCAGCCTTCCATCCTTCCGGGGTAGGTAAAATGAGGACCCAGATTGTTGGGGGCAATGTAAATATATATATATATATATATACATTGCTTACTGGTGTACACTGCTTAGAGAGTGCTTGCACTTAAAGCGGTATATAAGTCTCATAAATAAATAAATAAATAAATTTCCCTATTATTGTAACAAAAAAGGTTTATATAGACAATTCTAGTTTTCCTTTAATCAACATCCTGATGCCATGTATCCTTTTCTTCCTGCCTTCCTTTCCTAAATGTTGATTTTTTGCAAGTATATAAATTTAGTAACGGGAATAAAATTTTGCATCAACTGCATTTGAAAAATATGCTGAACAAATACATCTACTCACATACTGATTATAAATTACAATGAAGCAACTTTTAGTACATTTTCAAATTCAGAAAACCACAAGAAATAGCAAAACTACATTTATTGAAAATGAATTTTAAACATTTCAGAATGCAAAGATTGTTCCATATAGAATTGGTCTCTAAATAAAACCAACAAATCACATACAAAGTGTACTAAATTGTACATTGCATTTCAGAACAGCCGTATGCAGATACAAAATAATTGTCATCTACCAAAATAAGGCAGAACCCAGGCACAGCGGTTAGTCAGTACCTAAGTGTAGTATAACCTGCTAGGAATCATACACAACCAGCAGTGTGTTGCTTATATTTAGCTTAGCCAGGATTTTTATTTTTTGCCATATCCCAACAGGCCAAAATTCAAAACTTTTGCAGTTTTGGAGGTATGTGGGAGATACACCAGTGATTACCTAATAATTCAGCTCAGCAAAATATAGCAACTTGCATTTAGTAGTATGATAGAATTGCTTGGCCAATTAGACCTAAAATTACTTTAGAACAAGGAAGTGTCATCCTAGAAAAGTGACTTTCAAAAAGTACTATGAGCTTGTGCAAGATGTCAAGAGCCAGCAATATGAAAGTGGCAGCCTATGGGAATTGTGTACTTCAGTGCAGCCAAATTATGCTTATGAGTTCCCAATAACATTGACAATAAGAGCAATTAAGGTTTAACAGGGTTCCCTTTAAGTTTGAACTTAATAATTTTAAATTTACTTAGCTGGGACTTTTAATTCACTTTGAGATCAATACCAATATAGCTGGGGTTAAGATGAGAAGGAATAAGGAGTCAAGTTCATATGGACCACTCACTAAACTGGGTTAGGTGCCAACATTATGCATTAAAATACATGACCCATTTTGTGAGAACCTTTAGTGTTCCCAAATCACTGGAATCCAAATTCTAATGCTTCCATGGAAGGAGAAATGGCAGGGTTTTTTAAAAAAAGAATGAAATAGATTTAATTTTCATAAGCTTGTTAATATACTATCCTTGTTTGTGAGTGTCCTTAATTTAGCCACAGTCATAATGGCAAACAAGCACACTACAGAGTATCAGGATAGTCTACTGAGATCTTGGCCACTGTCCAGTTGCAGAACTCCAAGTTAGTCTTTTGCTTATAGCAATATGCTTTATTCAACTTCACTAAAATAAAAAAAAAATCCCTCTAGATATTTCCTAATTACAAAAGACAAGTAAAATCACACCTTGTACTGTAAATTCAATTTACCGACATGCATACTATCCTTGCATTCATAATCTATCACACTGTGGCATAATGTCATAATGAAAAAGAAATACATTACTGTAATGGACATAGAATGTAACACAATGTTCTTCCCTTTGAAAAGTTATTGGCTGGTCAACTCTCTTAAGCTATCTGGTTACCCTGAGAGTTTTCTACAGCTTTTTTTTAAGGCTTATTAAGCACCAGTTATATATGCTACATGTTTTCAATATTTAGCAAGCACCAGAATCTAACTTCAAATCCATCATTATCTACAAGTAAGCAAAACCTTAGCCTCATTATGGATGAGACACGTCCAAACATGGTAGTTGTAAAACTAGGCACATAGATACTTAAAAGCAGAAGCAAGTCTTGCTTCCCTTTAGGCTTCTCCAAGTTAAATGCAAATATTTCATTTGCTTTTTCCTCACTGACGTTTCTATGTATATTCACATCTAGAAAGCTACTTGGAGTAGCAGCGTTTCTCAGACTCTTGGGAGATAGAAAGCAAAACTTGTGGCATTGAAAATAAGGATGAGGAGAGTTTACATTACTGCTTTATATGGTAGAAAGGCACATGCACATTCTCAGAGAACAGGTATGTCACTATGGCATGTATGTAGCTACGTTAAAAGAAGTTTTTGTTTTTTAAAAGTCCAGTGGGTAAGAACAGATGAAACAGAATGAAACAATTTATGGTCAATGTGAATGGTTGAAGCAATGTTCATTGTGATATTATTGCAAGCTGCTTCAGATCTTTCAAAAAGAACAGAAGCTTTTGAATAATCCTCCTAAACCGGAACTAACATATCCTTCCTGAATTTGATCTATATGAGCAAAAAACTTTAGCTGCTCTTTGCCTATTAATATATAAGAGCCAGAATATATTAAAGCTTCATAGTTTTATTCAATTATTTTATTAAAAAATTTAATGGACCTAAAAGTATTCTGCAACATAATTTTCAGGTCAATCCTGATTTTCCTTTTTTTTTTTTTTGTTTCCAAATGCATTAGGTGTATGTTTCTTTATAATCATTGTGCCGCAAGTGAAAATCAATCATTCTACGTACTTAAAAATTAAATCACAGGCACAGATCAGTAAATGAGAATAGTAAATGATACATTGTGCAGAGACTAGGGATTTGCGTGGATAACCTGAATATCATAATACTGTCAAAGAGCCCAGTGTATGCAACCACAATAACCAAATAGAAACTTCGATTTAATGATATCAATTCATGTAATTTGCATTACAAAACTATAGAAGCTCTCCACTCAGTGGTACCAAACATTTTAAAGATAAAATTCCAAATTCTGAAATCTTAGAATCATTTTCTTTTTATCACAATTTATTGGCTTTGATATGTAAAAGATCTGAAAGTATGAAGGGAAGGATGACATATTGTTTCCCATTTCCTTACAGTATTGCCTACAAAGTGTTAATATTGTTACTAGTGATCTGCTTTTTTTACCAAATAGAAAAAATGCTCTTTAAACAGGTTTTACTAGAAATTGCCCCCATTGCTCATAACATTGCTTATAGAATACATAATGTTATACATACCAGAAATTTATTAAAAGGCATAATACTTCCAGATGACTACTTTAGTACCAGCAGTAAAGTGCAGCAAGTTTTGAAGCCATTATTGGACCAAAAAGATGCTATCTCAAAAAAAAAAAAAAAAAAACCACCACGAATAGCCCTCTATTTAAGGCAAAAGAGATTTTGCCATCCTATGGGATAAACTACTGAGAATCAGCTCTCTCACCATAGTAATTACTGCTCTGCTTCTTCTGTAATGCCTTAGCCCTTAGAATTGAGCTGTATTTTCAGACAGCACTTGTAAGACAGAACATGTCATATTCGTAATTAAAAGCCTGCTCTTTCCTTTGTTGATGAAGTAACAGTCTTTAAAAAGTTACCTAAGCCCAAAGATTAATTAATAAAATCTGCAAATGCATCTGTAAGTGCGATTTGTGGAATTTCCCCATTCCATCACTTGTAATGTAAACAGAGCATAAGATGTTATTTTGCACTCTTCAAACATTCACAGCCCTGGGGTAAAAGTTTTGAGACAAAAGTAAACCATGTAGCAAAGAGCTGTTATTTTCCTGATTTCATGTAGGATGGTATTGCCCCTCGAGCAGTCAGGCCTTCAAACCGCTTGTATGTATAATTGATAAAGACCCAGTCTTTGTTCTTGTAGTCTGTTTCTGGATGGTTACCTGTGGTCACTGATGAAAAACAAAATTCAGAAGGAATATTAGACCATTTAATACAGGACAGAAATTTGTTGCAAATATTAGAGAATTGCAAGATGGAAGAATATTGTCATTCAGCTTGAGTGTGTATTATTGAAGTTAAAAAAAAAGAAAGGGAGGGAGGGAGGGAGGGAAGGAAGGAAGGAAGGAAGGAAGGAAGAAAGAAAAGAAAGAAAGAAAGAAAGAAAGAAAGAAAGAGAAAGAAAGAAAGAAAGCCATTAAAGAGCATGACATCAACCCTACCACAGAACGAGGAGGCAAATTAGATCGGTTGCTAAACTGAGAGAACTAGTTTCTCAAATAATTTTTTCAAGCATTTAATCATGTATGAAATTAAAAGGGATCCATGACAATGCATTTTATACCAAAAATATCAAAAAGGGGGAAAAAATTTTTAAGATCACAAAGATGCCAGCTGCTTTATATCATTCTTACTCTATAGCCCTGGCCAGCCTTCTTTTAGATGTGATCTTAAAACTGGACTGTAGCAAATTCTAAACTTTGGGGTTCTTTTTTTTTTTTTAAAGCTCCCAGTTCTGGGTTTTATCTACTGCAGTGGTTCTCAACCTGTGGGTCGGGACCCCATTTGGGGTCGAATGACCATTTCACGGGGGTCACCAAACCATGCTGTCCGCCATTTTTTTCCCTTTTCCCTAGCTGTCCTACTCCCTCTTATTGGTGGCCACACCCACTTGGGGGTCACCACAACATGGGGAATGTATTATGAGGTCACGGCATTAGAAAGGTTGAGAATCACTGATCTACTGTATCCAGGCACTAATAAGGAT